GTCTCGCCACCTTCTCTTGATCTCTTCAGATTCTGTTAGGTCCCTGCCATCTTTGTTTCTTATCATACCAATTTTTGCCTGAAATTTACCTCCAATGTTTCTAATTTTCTGGAAGAGGTCTCTTGTCCTTCCTATTCTGTCGTCTTCTTCCACTTCCATGCATTGCTTATTTAAAAATAGTTCCTTATCTCTTCTGGCTAACCTCTGGAATTGCGCATTTAACTGGGCATATCTCCCCTTATCCCTGTTTCCTTTTGCTTTCCTCCTTTCTTGGGCTACTTCCAGTGTCTCAGCAGACAACCATTTTGCCTTCTTGGTTTTCTTTTTCTTTGGGATGTACTTTGTTGCCGCCTCCTGAACAATGTCTCGGACTTCTGTCCATAGTTCTTCTGGGACTCTGTTTACTAAATCTAGTCCTTCAAATCTGTTCTTCACTTCCACTGTATATTCGCTAGGAATGTTAGTGAGATCATATCTAACTGGTCTGTGTATTTTCCCTGATCTCTTTATTTTTATTCTAAATTTGGCAATAAGAAGTTCGTGATCTGAGCTACAGTCAGCCCCAGGTCTTGTTTTCACCGACTGGATGGATGTCCGCCACCTTTGGCTGCAAAGGATGTAGTCAATCTGATTTCGGTGTTGACCATCTGGTGAGGTCCATGTATAAAGCCGTCTTTTAGGTTGTTGGAAGAGAGTATTCGGTATACACAGCGAGTTTTCCTGGCAAAATTCTATCAGCCTGCGTCCCGCTTCATTTTGTTCTCCCAGACCATGCTTGCCTGTGATCCCTGTTGTCATTTGACTTCCCACCTTGGCATTCCAGTCTCCTGTAATGAAAATAATGTCTCTTTTTGGTATATTATCCAGTAGTTCCTGAAGATCCTCATAGAACTGATCTACTTCTGCTTCTTCAGCAGCTGTGGTTGGGGCATATATTTGGATCACTGTAATGTTGAAAGGCTTTCCTTGCACTCGAATTGAGATCATTCTGTCATTTTTTGGGTTGTATCCAAGCACCGCTTTAGCGAATTTCTTATTAATTATGAAGGCTACTCCATTTCTTCGATGTTCCTCTTGTCCGCAGTAGTAGATCTGGTGGTCATCTGATGTGAAGTGGCCCATTCCAGTCCATTTCAGTTCGCTGACCCCCAGAATGTCTATCTTTAGTCTTGACATCTCACCAATAACAACATCCAATTTGCCCTGGTTCATAGATCTTACATTCCAGGTTCCTATGGTGTGTTGATCGTTAGAGCATCGGATTCGTCGTTCACCTCCAGTACCGTCGGCCGCTAGCCTTCCTTTCGGCTTTGAGCTAGCTGCGTCATCACATCTGGGGCTAGTTGAACTTATCCTCTGCTCCTCCCCAGTAGCATTTTGGCCATCTTCCGCCCTGGGAGTCCCATCTTCCAATGGCATACCGACATATCTCTGGTTGTACTGGTCCATTTAGTTTTCTTGGCAAGGATACTGGAGTGGTTTGCCATTGCCTTCCCCAGGGATCACGCTTGGTCTGACCTCTCTGCCACAACCGTCCCGTCTTGGGTGGCCCTTCACGGTTTCGCTCATGACATCATTGAGGTGCTCAAGCTCCAGCGCCCCGACAAGGCGGTGATCCTTTGCTGAAGCAAAATACGATACATCAGACAATATAAAACAGCCCAACTATAAATTTAATACCAAATAAGAATATACCAAAAATTGAACTAATAGATCTGACCCCTCCCTCCTGACTTTCAGAAAGATGGTAAAATCTTGGCTCTGGAACTTAGCATTCTCAGATTGATGATCAAATCAATAACTGTTGACCACAAGGCGGATGGTGGTGAATTTGTGATTTACCTTGACGAATTGGCTTTATGTAATTCTTGATCTGTATTTTAATGTGTTTTAATGTATTAATGTACTATGATGTTATTATGCTTTAGTTTATTTGTATATTGATTCTCTGTTGTTAGCCGGCCTGAGTCCCTCCTCGGAGGTCGAGAAGACCGGGTTATAAAAGCTCTAAATAAATAAATAAATAAACAAACAAACAAACAACTCTAGAAGACATAATCATATCATATAAATTTACACAAAATAAAACACTTAAAACAATTGGACCCATATTAAGAGGTAGGATATTTTCCAACAACTGATAGGCTGGGGTGTATTCCAGTATAGACAGAATTTAATATATCTAAATGATGTTATATGTCGGGGTGTATTAGACTTCCTCTTCTCCATACGCCAGAGTGCATAGGTGTGTGTTTACAACTTTTTAAACATGAGGAGAGAGGGGTCAGTTTTTAGTTCTTTTGGGAGAGAGTTCCAGAGGCGGGGAGCGATCTCAGAGAAGGCCCCCTCTCTCGTTCCCACCAGCCGTGCTTGAGATAGGGGTGGGACCGAGAATAGGGCCTCCTCCGCAGATCGCAGTGCTCAAGCTGGTTTGTAAACAGAGATGCGGTTCTGCAAATAGTCTGGGCCTGAACCATTTAGGGCTTTATAGATAAGGACCTGCACTTGGTATTTAGCCTGGAAATGGATTGGCAGCCAGTGGAGCCGCCACTGCATGGGAGTCGCCCTCTCAATACCAGAGAATGTCACAAACCCCACAACGTGACTTTGAATGAAGACATGTGAGGGGCTTGAGTGACTTTTTAGTATGATTTCTATTGATTTCCAGAGCAAATAAGCCCCTTCCTCTACACATGATAGTTACCAGAGATGAATGAAATGTTTGAGACAGGAATAGGGTGAAAATTAAACCCTCAAATAGGCTCGTTCGAGGTTGTTTAGAATTATTTATATGCCCGGCATCCTCAAATTGCAGCCCTTTATCTCTTTGGGCCTCCAACCCTCAGAATTCCTGACCACTGAACAAGCTGTCTTGGGCTTCTGGGAGCTGGAGGCCCAAACAGCTGAAGGGCTGCAACCTGATATATACTAATGTTAAAACTTCTAATTTCATCTTTAACATATGGGCCAGTGCACAATTTTTAGGATTACTGTTATGTGCTTTTGGCACTCCATTCCAACCAGGAAACAAAATTGTATGCTCATTAACAGCTTCTAAACTAATCTCAAAGGCAGGTCCTGTGATTATTAACACCTGGAGTACTGTGGACAAGCTGTCATGATTTACTGAAATAGACAAAAACATTTATTCCAAACAAGTTTGGTAAGGACAAAATAAATTGCAGTTTCCGGTATGGTATATATTTTCATGTCAGGAGCGACTTGAGAAACTGCAAGTTGCTTCTGGTGTGAGAGAATTGGCCATTGGATGTTTTGAGGTTTTACCATCCTTGTGGGAGGCTTCTCTCATGTCCCTGCATGGAGAGCTGGAGCTGACAGAGGGAGCTCATCCATGCTCTCCCAGGATTCGAACCCCCAACCTGTCGGGCTTCAATCCTGCGAACACAAGGGTTTAATCCACTGTGCCACCGGGGGCTCCGGTATGGTGTAGTGGCTTAAATGCTGGATTGGGATTCTGGGAGACAAGGGTTTGAGCCCCTTCTGAGCTATAGGGCCCCTGGCTCAGTCACACTCTCAGCTTCAGAGGAAGGCAGTGGCAACCCTTTTTTGAAGTAACCTTCCCAATAAGACCCTATGATGTTGTTGCCATAAGTTAGAGTCAATGTAAACATATATAAAACAAGAAACCACACACATATATACAAATAATCAATTTGTTCTTACCCATAACGTTCTAGGGCACATCCCAACATAAGAAATGTCAGGCCAATGACGCCAGTAAATGACAACAAAACCAAGGCTGGAAAAGTAGAAATAAAAGAATTGAAATCACCACATTAATTTGTAAAAATTACTATCAGGTTACTAACATATAATTTATTGTCTGCTGTAAAACTGATGTAAGTACACAAAGCAACCCAATGTTTACATTAAATATGCAGCAGCTTCCTAATGCAGTTAATGTTTACAAAGGAAGTTCCTTTTCTGTTGGTAAGGGAGATGAAATGTTATTATTTGCACCAAACCTCTTTAGTCTTAGTCCAATGTGGCCTCTGCCTGCATTAAAACTCCTCAATGCTATCTTAACTGACAGAATGTAGGCCTCGGACTCTAATATTATCACCTTTTTTCTCCTGTATGGATATTAACATCTTTGCCCAACCAAGAAGATAGTGAAGTTTCAAAAATTTGCATAATGTATTCCATGCTTTGCAGGTGACCAAATAGAGGTGTTGCTGCTATGTGGATTTTGCTCTATTAAAAGTTTTGTAGCCATGTTGCCAAGATTGCATTCTGATAGTGCTAACACACTATCAAGAGTGTGCGTCTATTTTGCCTTTTCCATCTTCTAGCATATAGTGTGGTGAACACCAACTGGACCCCACCCCCACCCCACCCCCGGATAAACTATGAATGAACTGTTCTTGTTACTTAATAAAAGCATCCCAACGTAATATTTCATCATAGAACATATTCCAAACTCCTTTCCTGACAGTGGTTTCCAAGCTTTCCTGACAGTGGTTTCCAACTTCCAGATGTTTTGGACTTCAACTCCCACAATTTCTAACAACTGGCTGGCTGGGATTTCTGGGAGCTGAAGTCCAAAACAACTGGAGGATTAAAGGTTGGGAACCACTGAAAGTGTGGATCATGTGGCCTTTCAGCTGTTATTGGACCACAAGTTCTGTCACCTCTTGCCCCATCTACACTGCCATGTAGACGCATATAATGCAGATTGAACTGGATTATGTGAGCCTACACTGGCAAATAATATAGTGCAGGGTGGATGAGGCCTCTGCTAGCATGGCCTATGAAGAGAAACTGGGAGAATAACAATCTAGCAAGCTCTGGAAAGACAGGATTAACTGGGAGAAACATTTGAGGATAGGTCTGCTAGTGGTCTCTCATTCATGGGGCTGCCATAAATCGAAGTGGACTTGAAGACAATTAATAACAACAAACAGAGCAGTTCAGTAGCTATCAGAAAAACACACACATCAAAGGGAAAGGAATAAACATCTTCAAAACAAAGAAAACGACTAGGTTGTTGTAGGTTTTTTGGGCTATATGGCCATGTTCTAGAAGCATTCTCTCCAGATGTTTCGCCTGCATCTATGGCAGACATCCTCAGAGGTTGTGAGGTCTCTTGGAAACTAGGAAAATTGGGTTATATCTGTGAGGTCTCTGGATGCCTCTGAGGATGGCTGCCATACATGCAGGCCAAACATCAGGAGATAATGCTTCTGGAACATGAAAGCATGTGAAAAGTAGACTGTGGTGCAGCTGACTGGGAGTCAGCTGCATTAGATCACTACTGACCGAAAGTTCATGAGTTCGAAGCCAGCCTGGGTCAGAGTGAGCTTCCGACCATTGTGTAGCACGCTATCACCCTTTGCAGCCCAAAAGACAGTTGCATCTGTCAAGTAGAAAATTTAGGTACCGCTTATGCGGGGAGGCTAATTTAACTAATTTATGACACCATAAAAAATCTCCAGCAAATATGCAAAATGCAAAGAATGAGGAAATACTCCATCAGTGTCACAAATGGACAGTGAGACGACAGCTCCCCTGATGGCCAGAATACCTTCATGAAGCTGGAATGTTAAATGGCCTCTGTGTGTCTGTCTATATATGTTGTGTGTCTATGGCACTGAATGTTTGCCATGTATATGTACATTATAATCTGCCCTGAGTCCCCTGCGGGGTGAGAAGGGTGGAATATAAATACTGTAAATAAATKTATGTATATAATAAAAGTCAGTGTTTGTATGCGGCAGAAGTGCGGCAGAAGTGTGGCAGACGTAGGGCAGTGTATGTGCCAGCTTTCTGATTGGCTGCCACTGTGATGCTATTTGCATATGGTCTCTGATTGACCAGCCTGAAAGTTCCAAGATTCTGAGGTGACAAGAGAGGAGAGAAAAAGGGCTGAGGCTGTGTCAGAAAATTACCAATACAGACCAAACTTGGCACACAGAGCCCGCAAGACCCACTCTACATCCTACTGCAGTTTGGAGGAGGATGGACCATGGATGATGGGACTAGCAGTACCATCACWCACTTTCTGAGACCACTGTGAACCTTATCCAATGACTGATCAAGACCAAACTTGGCACACAGAYCCCGCAAGACCAACTCTACATCCTACTGCAGTTTGGAGGAGGATGGACCATGGATGATGGGACTTGCAGTATTTTCACTCACTTCCTGAGACCACAGCAACATTCATCCAATTACCAATAAAGACCAAACTTGGCACACAGAGACACAATTCCTTTCTCAAATAACCCGGGCAACGGCGGGTCCCCAAYCTAGTAATAAATAAAATATAAAGCCATTTTTCCTAGTTTCCAACAGACCTCACAACTTCTGAGGATGCCAGTGATTCTGGCCATGAAAGCCTTTGACAATACAAAGAAAACTACTACCGAAAATGAGCTGAGAAATAAGTGTATCCAGATCCACAGGAAGTCAGAACTCCCTATCATATTAGGTTTCAGGATGAGGGAATGTCTGGAAAGCTTGATTGTGGACTACAGCTCCCAGAACCCTCCGGTCATCACACCCAGAAGGGAATTGCAGTCCAAAATAGAAAGTAAGGCCTTCCAAAACCAGTTTCCTTGCCAAGGCTGCTTTGCCCTGCCCCAAAGGACCAGTCACACCAGTCTGAGCTTCCTGTTACAAGCAATTTATTTCCCCACGAAGGAGCCGCCCTGCTTCGCACAGGACTCAGGGCCCTTCCACACAGCCCTATAACCCAGAATGTCAAGGCAGAAAATCCCACAATATCTACTTTGAACTGGAATATATGGCAGTGTGAACTCAGATAGTGTATTCTGAGATATCGAGCCCTTCCACACAGCCCTATATTCCAGAATATGAAGGTTAAAAAAAATTCCACATTATCTGAGTGTGGACTCTGATAACCCAGTTCAAAGCAGATATTCTGAGATTTTCTGCCTTGATATTCTGGGACATAGAGCTGTGTGGAAGGACCCTATATCCCATAATATATTATCTGAGTTCACACTGCCATATATTCCAGTTCAAAGCAGATAATTTGGGATTATATTCAGTTGTGGGGAAGGGGCCTCAGGCCCATCTACATTGATCATATCATCCAGTTTCTGAATGCAGATTATCTGCTTTAAACCTGGATTATATAGCAGTGTAGGCCAGGCACGGGCAAACTTTGGCCCTCCAGATGTTTTGGACTTCAACTCCCACAATTCCTAACAGCCAGTAGGCTGTTAGGAATTGTGGGAGTTGAAGTCCAAAACATCTGGAGGGCCAAAGTTTGCCCGTGCCTGGTGTAGACCCATATAATCCAGTTTAAAGCAGATAATCTGCATTCAGAAACTGGATGATATGATCATTGTAGATGGGCCTGAGTCATCCCGAAACTGGATTACATAGTAGTATTGATGTTGCCTATAGAAAAGTTTTCCAGCCCAGTCCTGGTGTAGCCTTCCATCTCTCTTGCTGTGCGCACAGAGTAGAACAGTCCCCCGTATCCGCGGATTCCACTTTCCACGCCTTGAAGCATACAAGGGAAACCTTGTATTTGGGGCATTTCTCATCAGGGGGGCCTCATGTAACTCCTAGACCGTTGTAGATCATCACACTGGAGCATCCATGGGTTTGGGTATCCACGGGGATCCTGGAATCAAACCCCAGCAGATACCAGAGGCGTCGAGGAGCTTCGAAACAACAACAAAACAACAACAACAGCCATCATCTTTCCAAAGCAGGGGCGCAGAGAGAGCTGGAGGTGGAGGAAAAGGCGAGGGAAGGAGCTCCCCCAAGGGGTTGGGCTGGGCGCCAAGAGGGAGAGAAGGAGAAGAGGAAGAAGAAGAGGAAGAAGAAGAGGGGCTTCTACCTTTGATGCCCGCCATGCCCGCCCCGCTGTCGTGGCCGGGGCTGCTTTCCGGGTTGCGAAGGCGAGGAGGCGGAGAGCCAGGCGCAAGCGCTTCCTTCACGTGGTGCTCGCCCGCTCGCCTAACCCTTTCCCTCCCCGCAGGAAAGAAGGAAGGAAGGAAGGAAGGGGAAAGCAAGCCCGTCCTAATGTATAAGCAATGTGTAAAGGACACAACAGTGTGGCTGTGGGAATAAGACTCAGTCAGCGGGTTTCTCCTCGGGAATTCTTCTCGGAAACCTTCCTCAGACATTCCCTTCAGAAAGCATCTTCAGGAATTCAGAGTAGGAAGAGACCTCGTGGAGCATCCAGTCCAACCCCCCACGAAGAAGCAGGAAAATTGCATTCAAAGCACCCCCGACAGATGGTCATCCAGCCTCTGCGTAAAAGCCTCCAAAGAAGGAGCCTCCACCACATTCGGGAGCAGAAAGTGAACAGCTCTCACAGTCAGGAAGGTCTTCCTAATGTTCAGGTGGAATCTCCTTTCCTGTAGTTCAGTGCTTCCCAACCTTTTCTTAACCAGGGACCACTTTGGCTAGGGTCCACCTTGACCAGGGACAACTTGACTAGGGACCACTTTGACCATGGACCACTTTGACGAAGGATCTCTTTGACCAGGGACCACTTGACCAGGAACCACTTGACCAGGGACCACTTTGACTGGGAACCACTTTGACCAGGGACCACTTGACCATGTACCACTTTGACCAGAGACCACTTGACTAGGGACCACTTTGACAATGGACCACTCTGATGAAGGATCTCTTTGACCAGGGACTACTTGACCAGGGACCTCTTGACCAGGGACCACTTGACCATGTACCGCTTTGAACAGGGACCTCTTGATCAGGGACCACTTGACCATGTACCACTTTGACCAGGGACCACTTGACCAGGGACTGCTTTGAACAGGGACCACTTTGACCAGGGGCCCCTTGACCAGGGACCACTTTCACCAGGAACCACTTGACCAGAGACCACTTTGACCAAGGGCCACTCTCCAAGATTAGTACCAAAAGGGTTACAAATCAGTTTTTGGTCACTTTAGATTCAGTTGAGGGTCTGATTCAGTAAAGTTACTCACATATGCTTATTTTATTGTGATAATTTTAAGATCTTGGGAAAGTTCCTTTTTGGGCAACATCCTCTGGCTGGCATGTACAATTAAGGTAGTTGCTATTGGGAAAAATAATTTTTCTAAGGCCTGATTTTCATTTATCTCCCTCCATCCCTCATATAACACTCTGTAAGACAATTTTTGTTCCTGGGTTATGTCATTTCATAATTGGTTCTGTCATGAAAACATGGAAAAAAGTTTAATAAACTGCAAAAACTTGGTTTAGCATCGACATTGTGCAGCACATTTTGCTATGTTTTTTCAATGAATATCTTATTGAGTTTCAACCAATTCAACATACATTATAGAGGCCACAAAAACAAAGTTTCTGGAGTATAATAACTACTTCCAAAGCAAGTAGCACACATTTAAAGGGAAAATACTTTCAAACCAGGAACAGATTTTTTTTCATATTTTGATACATGGTGTAATGTTTAGAAATGCTATTCCTTGTTAAAGATATAGCTATTCAACCTCTGTCACATCTATTAAAACCTATTGTTGACATTTGAATTCAATTGCCTTTTCTCCTTCATATATTATTGACATGAAGCAGCAAGATGTGTAGAAACCGCCGCCGCCGCCCCCCAATTGCCTCTACACATTGCCCAATTCTGAAACAGTGGGCCCCTTGTATCCAAAAATCCTTGGATAACAAAATCTGTGGGTGTTCAAATCTCATTATATACAATGGTGTAGTAAAATGATCTCAATATAAAATAAGGGGAAGAGACTATTTTTGGTTGTGGATGGTTGAACCCATGTATGTGGATATGGAAGACTGACTGCACTGAATGCTGTCCACTCTGACATTCAAAATCGATTATTTCACTAAATAGCACAAAATAAATGAAAGCACTTAGGACACTTTCTGAGGCTCAAGGATTAGGATCCCAGATTAGGAGATGATTGTGAAGTTCCACACAATATGGGTACATTCAACATGTCTCATGTTGAATGTACCCATATCCCCATTTTAGCTGCTGTAGCCTGCACACACATATGCTCACACAGACTCACACACTATCTCAATTTACTGGCTAGTGAGAAGCAGTGGGCAGCTGAGAAGCATTCAGCTGTATGTCAACAGCTGGATGCACAGCCATGAGGCATAATTTGGAAGGGTCATCCTGGAGCATGATCTCAGCGCTCTGCGTGCAGCTGTAGCTGGATATTTCACAGCTCATATCTATGTAATGCACTAACGGAATGTCAGACAAGCCCTTTCAAAGAAAAAAAATCAATCGGATATACTGGGATTGTATACTGGTTCTGGCATACCTGAATTTTGCTGCTTCTCTGAGCACAAATGGAAACCTAACTACATCATACAATAGGCAGTGGAGGCATCTACACTGTAGAATTAATGCACTTTGAAATGTGTTAATTGCTATGATTCAATGTTATAGAATCCTGGAGTTTGTAGTTTGGTGAATCACCAGCACTTTTGGGAAAAGGCTAAAAATCATGTAAAACTGTATCTCCCATTATTCCATCTCATTCAGTCATATTATTATTATTATTATTAACAATAACAATAACAATAATTTTATTTATGGGTTGTTGTAGGTTTTTCCAGGCTATATGGCCATGTTCTGGAGGCAGTTTTTCTCCTGACGTTTCGCCTGCATCTATGGCAAGCATCCTCAGAGGTAGTGAGGTCTGTTGGAAGTAGGAAAAATGGGTTTATATATCTGTGGAATGACCAGGGTGAGACAAAGGACTTTTGTCTGCTGGGGCTAGCTGTGAATGTTTCAGCTGATCACCTTGATTAGCATTCAATGGCTTGGAAGTGCCTGGGGGGAATCTTTTGTTGAGAGTGATTTTATGTAAATAAATTTTATTTATACCCCTCTACCATCTCCCCAAGCAGCCTCGGGGTGGCTTACATGAGGCCAAGCCCAACAAATACAGCAAAGCAAATATGCAATATAAAAATACAAAAATAAAATATAATGAAAATAAAAAATACAAAAAAATACAAGTAAACACACAAAACAGTATAAAATCACGATAATTGAGTCACAATAACTGAACACAGTGGGCAGGGCCAGTTGCAAAGATTAAAAATTTAAAAACACTGGGTGAGAAAGCAATGTAATGTATCTGGAAGGAGTTGGTGTCAAACTGCATTAATTTCACAGTGTAAATCAGGCATGGGCAAACTTCGGTCCTCCAGGAGTTTTGGATTTCAACTTCCACAATTCCTAACAATCGGTAGGTTGTTAGGAATTGTGGGAGTTGAAGTCCAAAATGCCTGGAGGGCCAAAGTTTGCTCATGCCTAGTGTAAATGAATTCTGTATAAATATAAACATTGACTTCAGTGGCTTGTTTGCTTCTAAACAGGTTCAGAACAGTTTCCACAACATAGTCAGAATGGGTAACGTCCTCCTACCCAAAATATCACTCTGGTGGTCATATTTTACCACCTGAATCTTTCCTTGTTTATGAAGGATAAAATACAAATAAAATGGACTGAGTTCTTTGCAATTTTTAATATATACAAATATTTTAGACCAGTCACAATTGAGTATATTGTATATTTACACCAAAAAAAAATACAGTAAGTTTTTAATCAGACAGTAAACCTGAACATTGACAAGTTTTGTACCTATCGGCTATATCCAAAAGAAAAAGGGGTAAGATGAAGGAATTCAGTAGCAAGACTTGCTTTCGTGCACCTTAAAACACACTAGAATTAAAGGTGGTATTTTGGTTAGGTCTCTTTTCTTTTTATTGAACTAGATGACGTTTCAATGATAACTTCTATTTTGGGAAAAACTGAGTTATCCAAGGCTTTAAAAAGATAAACCAGTTGATGGTAATGTACAAAGCTAATGCCATTTTTGGAATTGCAAAAATGTATGCTACATGGATTTAAACCATTTGTATATTGTAAGCATAATTCACACAATATCTACAGATGTTGATGAAAGAGTAAAACAAGTCACGGGAACATGAGTCACATTCCAAAATTGTTTTTAATAGACAAGCACATACTTGATCAAAACATATCATTATATGTTAATAAATAACATCCAGTTTGTTATAGTTGTTCAGTGTGTTAATATAAAAAGGAGAACTTGATGTTTTGTTTCACATTGGCAGTAAATGGCAATAAATAATGGATTAAAACAACAACAAAAAAGATGGCATTAATATAAAAATAAATGTAGGCTGGTTGACATGCTGTATCTGCAGAAAGGGGTTTCCCCCACTAGAAAACCAGAACAACAAAAAACAGATTGTCTTTTAAAAACATCAATTTGACAAAAGATTTTCACACCAGAGTTTAAAGAATGTATATGGAAACCTTTCCGCCTGTTCACTAGCTCCTTAGTGAAAATATAGATAACCACTTTTCTCATGTAGTGAATCTAGTGTCTACCACTAAACAGTACTCATGAGGAAATAGGTTGTGTAGCAGGATCCAGTATATGATGGGGCTTTTATGCCATCAGGCCGTCAACAAACCGAAAATATTTTGTAGTCAAAAACCGATGTCATTTCAGAATCTCATCAACACAGTGGCTCTCTTCAAGGAACTTCAGTTCTTCATGGCTGTCATTTCAAATTGACCTAATGTCAACTGCTTGAAGAGGAAATGAGCACATCATATTAATCCACCTCATGCATGAGGGACTAGATTTCATTCAGATGTCAGTAAACAAAGCTGCCTTTACAATTGTTTTCTGCAAAAGGAAAAACATTTACAAAAGGAAAAGAAGTGCTATATATAAAATTAGTTTTGTAAGACAATGAAAAAGAACATAACGTTCATTTTATCTTTTCAGACACTACCATGTGAATATATGAACATTATTGCTTACTGGGCCAATATATCTTTTGTAGGTAAGTAGTTTTGATTTATGTTATTTTTTGCTGCTTTTGTGTTCTAACATAATCACACCAAGAAAGTATTCAATTAAGAAATTTAGAAGGTGAAACTATATGTCTCTTTACAATTGCAATGGGAAACATTGGATATTTTTAATTTTTCATTGAATAAGCTGTGAAGATCATCATAACTTCCAACATCTTGAAGAAGAAGAAAGGATTCCTCTTGGTTTATAGTGGAATCTTAAAACATTATTTCAGTTGAGGATTTTTAAAAGCTTTTGCAAAATATTCATTCTCACTTTCTATCAGTGCTCAATACTCAACTCAGGACTATGTTGATTTGGACATCATCTTCAAACTGGATTCTGTCTGCATAACATATTCAATAATTTAAAGACACTCCGCATATTCCATGGTAGTGTGGAATGCCTAGTTATTTGCTTGTCTGAAACATGAAATACAGTACTATGCTTAAGGCAGCAGTAAGTTGCCAGAGACATAACCAATTGCCTAGCTGTCAGATTCAAAAACACACTACAGCCAATAACTGAGGGGTCAAATGATGAAAGATAGTGTACGGTGAATAGCTGGGTATGAATGAACATTTTGAGGAAGTTTGTCTTGGATGCAAACTTTCAAGAGTACACCAGATCCCTCATGGCACAGGGTCCACTTCATTAAAGTCAGAAGAAGCCATTTATTTTATCTCACATTCCTAGAAAAACAATCCCCATTGGTGGGATGTCTCCTTACCTACCCTGTTTCACCCTGAATTAACACTATTATATTAATGCCAAGAACTCTTTCTTTGCCTTTGTAAGTCATGGCAGGTGCAAGAAACAGCCTTCATATTATTCCCTTCTCCATGAGGAAAGTTTTCAGTATTAGGACTAGTTTTACTATTTTCACATTTCCAGCCAGGTATCAGTTCAATTGTGAAAATCTTGTGGCAAGGAACTATACAAGCACTAGCACAGGTCTACAGCAATGTCTGAGGAAGTAACACTAATACAAGGGCTTTTGGCCTTGGTTTTCAAATTCTGACCAGGCATCATTGAGCTCCATAAAAATCATCTTTGCATATTGTTCATATGGCTGTCCTGTAGCCTAGAAGGAAAAAAGAACAATGAATTAACTGAGGTAGCTTAGGATATAAAATAGTAAGATCCATCTCAAATCTATTGGTAATGCTAACCTAGCATCCGGGGTGATGTTTAGTCCTATCATCTATTTTCATAAATATATTGTTCCAAAAACTCTTCAGCTGTGGGTATTCCCATCATAAATGAAAATATGTCCCTTTGTGCATGCCACGTCTCCAGCAGAGGTTACTTTGCTTCCTATCCATCCGGTGTAATTCAACCAGTGTGGTATACCATCTCCATATGACTTTGTGCACATTTACTTTTAATCTATTGACAGATTCTTAACCACTCTCCACTTGAAGGCCCTTTTCCAATTAAGTTCTGTCGGAGGCCCTAGGTCTCCTTCCCACACTTTTTCTAACAGCTTCAGCCCTATTTCTTCTACTATTAATCCATTGTATATTTTCCCAAATAATCCTTTCTTAGATATTTCTTGCTTTTTAAGTTTACTTAGCCATTCTTCATATTTATTCACCTCTACATCACTAGTCTCTGAAACCCACCTATTAGTTATTTTGGAGTTAAAGAGCAAATTTCTTATGAAACATGAATAAGAAACTATTGTTATATATTATTGATATATTTATTCTTAATTATCAAACTCAACATGGTTCCAAATCTAATCTATGTACATATTTTGTAACATGAAGGTGGTTTATACCCAATTCTACCCTAACGAAAAGCAGATCATACTCTTGATACACACTCATTATTGTGATAGTGGAAGTCTCAAAGAGCAGTGGCCAAGAGAAAAATAAGTAAACTGGTGAGAATTTAAATCTACAAAATCTTCAGTAAGTTTCCTGTTTCCTACTTATTTTCAAATCTGCATACAAATGAGTTTTTCCTATCATAAGAAGACAACGGTAAATATAAATTTTTCTTGGTAAAAGCCTTACAGGGAATCAGCAATGTCTAGCAATTAAAAAGAATGAGGCAAACGTCTCAGGCAGCAATTTGGTGAGGTGCGGCACTGTTTGCTAGGAAAGGCTAAGGACCTTGTAAAACCACAACTCTCATGATTCCATAGTTGTTTGATTTAATTACCCACTGTAATTAAACTGATGTCAAACTGTTTTAATTCTATAGTACATAGTGGCCTGTATAATGTGTGGACCTTTAGATTTTGGAACTCCAACTCCCAGAAGCCCTAACCAGCTTGGCCAATAATCAGGCTTTTTGGGCGCTGAAGTCCAAAACATCTGGAGGACCACAGGTTGTGCAGGTCTGGATTGTGTGAGAAAGATTAAGTTCTCAGTCTCTGCACATTAAATTGGAGAGAATCTGTCTTATCTTTCCTTAAGGCAGCAACATTTCTTGGACTGGATCTGTAACTAATACCATTTGATTGTTTTCTGAGAATAAATCATAGGATGAGAATCTTATACCAATCAGTTGGTTAGGTAAGAAAGGTTGGTAATCTAAAATACCATCACTTACTTTATCTGGATGAACAACAAGCACTGCTTTACGGTAAACCTTCTTCACTTGCTCTGGAGTGACAAGATCTGCCATGCCCACTTGTTTCCATTTTGTTTCTCCCTCCCATAGCACCGTATGCATTGTAGAGAGCAGTGCTCTTATGTTTCTTTCTTTCCCTTCAATCCATTCTAATATCTGTACAGAGAGATACAATTTTGAATAAATTTCAAGACAACATTCACATTGAAATATATAAATAGGTTTATATTTGATTGATTAGAGAAATACATGTTGCAATACATATTTTTCTTCATCCTTGGATATGCTGGCTAGGATTGATGGGAGCTGCAATCCAGCAGTACCCAGAGGGTAATGGGAATATAGTGTGTCCTATATATTGTTTTTTCTGGACTTGCTTCAAAATTAGGGGGGAAAGGGGAGCTCTGTCAGATAGACAGGTCAAAATATTATTTTCAACCCAAAGAAAACATATAAAGACATTTGAAAGTAAGGAACAAGGTAGGTAAAGGTTTCCCCTGACATTAAGTCTAGTTGTATCTGAATCTGAGGGTTGGTGCTCATCTCCATTTCTAAGCCAAAGAGCCGGTATTGTCTGTAGATGTCTCCAAGGTCATGTGGCCGGCATGACTGCATGGAGCGCCGTTACCTTCCCACAGAAGTGGTACCTATTGATCTACTCACATTTGCATGTTATTGAACTGCTAGGTTGGCAGAAGCTGGGCTTAACAGCAGGATCTTACCCTGCTCCTTGGATTGGAACCACCGACCTTTTGGTCAGCAAGTTCAGCAGCTCAACGGTTTAACCTGCTGCACTATTGGGGGGGGGGGCTTAGGAGCAAGCTAGCATCTTTCAAATTACAACTGTGGGGCTAAAATAAATATTTTTTTAAAAAGACAATGCATCTAACAGAAGAATAATACTTGTGGACCAAGGAGAATAGTATGTACCAAAAGTAAATGTCTCAAGAATTCCAGGGAAATACATGTACTGGGAATAAGACTGTGTATATACATGTACCCATGTACACTAAAAAAGATAACAAACTTTCAAAGTATTAGCAGTGTTAGTCTGTTCCAGTATAGAAAGAAAGGAATCTGGTGGTATCTTTAATCAGTTTATTTCAGTACAAACTTTCATGGACTACAACCCAGCTGCATGACAAATGGACTATAGTCCATGAAAACTTATCCTGAATAAATTAGTCTCGATTTCCTGAATGTCTAGGACCTTTAGATGTTATTGTTCATATTCAAAGCATGTATTGGGATAGTACTAATCAGCGTTTAATCCTTCAGGCAAGATTTATCTCAGTGGTCCACGATGCTAATAGCCAACAAAGTAATTATCACAAAAATATCATTAATGATTATCACAGTAAGGTAGTGTTCCCTAACAATTCTTATTTATGTATAACCCATTATGTAAGAGCTGTGGCCTTTTAGATGCATCAGTGCATAATGCATGCACACAGACATTAGGGCTAACTTTGTTCACTGGTCCATTGTAGGAATCCAAAAAGAGCGGGGTACATTTCCACATTTCCCCCCCCCCCCCCCAAAAAATCAGAAGTGACTGTCTTATGCATAAATACACATTACACAGGGATGGACAAAATCCAGCACCTCACCACACCAGGTCTGTTTTTATAGCTCATGATTTCCTGAACTATTGCTACCAAAAAGAAAAAAAGATGATGAGAATAAATTGTCTCATGAATAACTCCAGGAACAATGATTCACAGGTCACTAGATCTCTGCCCTGTTTAACAGCGGGGACAGAGATATTTTTAAAAAAATCAGCCATGTACTTCTGGGCATTTTCCATTTTGGGCAATGTGCTTCCTGCAGGATTCTAGTGGCAGAAAAAAGCGCACAGTCCTGCACTAAAGACCCATGATTTGCTGTAGAGGTCATGTGTTGCTTCTGGAGGCTTCCAAATAATGCAAATCTTCCTCATGTGTTGTTCTTGGTGTTGTTGTTTTCTTACAGGGCTTCAAAACTAGTGATAGGGCAGCATGCAATCTAAGACACAACTATAGAATAAACAGAAAGTAAAAATGCTTAGTAGAATTTTACTCATGTGTTGATGCACCTAAGCATATTTCCTCTCTATTTACAGTGTTCCCTCACTACTTTGTGGTTCAATTTAAGCGGACTCGCTGTTTCGCGGGTTTTTGAAAATATTAATAAAAATATAAAATATTTACGGTATGTCCAGTGGAGGCCAGGGACCTCGGAAGTGCAGCAGGCTGAGGCGCAGCCTGGAAGGCCTGCCTCCCTGGCCTCCACAGACCCCGGAAGTGCGGTAGCTTGAGGTGTGGCGGGGAAGGCCTGCCCCCCTGGCCTGCTGCTTCCTGCATGGCTCCGAAGGCTCTGCCGGGCTCTGTGGAAGCCAGGGAGGCAGGCAGGCACCCTTGGGATGGGAGGCGGGTAAGGAAGCGCGGGTAAGAAAATAATATGTAATATATATAAAATAACATATAAATATTAAAATTAATATGGTGTCCCTACTTAGTGGATTTTCACTTATCGTGGATGGCCCTCGAACGGAACCCCTGCGATAAGTGAGGGAACACAGTATACCACAGTTGGGCTGTGGGCTGCATGCGGCCTTTTCAGTAATATATGTGTGTAGTCTTTGCCTAAGGAAACTCTATGAAATTGATGGGCTAAAGAGATGATTTGAAGGCATAGACACGCCTACATTCATATGGGGTGATAAAAGCATTTAAAATAAAATATACTGTTAATCTTAAATAAGATCAGTTTCCTGTACACAGAGATCAATGAAATTCCAAGAGTTACTTTACCAGAAAATAAATATTTCTTTAATAGATGCAGTAAATCTCCGAAAAGAACCACATTTAGCCACTGTAGTAGAACATTACAATACTAAGTGGTTGTGTGTGTACCTGCAGGTGAAATGGAACTGCGTGAACAAGTTAAAATGATACACAAAGAGATAGTCCAAACTATAAAGGTGAGAATGAATGAATTTTTAATACACAGTTCAGTACTTTTTCAGACAAACTGCCTCGTAACATTCAGGAAGAATACAATTTGAAGCACAGCTGCTTGTTTGATGTGTACGCCAGTGTGGGAGATGTGAATTGTTTTACTTTGAAAGGAAGGCCACATGAAATCCTCAGATATATCTATTACTGTCAGAGATATGTATGTCAGCTTTGAGCTAAAATGAATTTGGAGGGGCAAAACGTTTGGAATAGTCTGAGCTCTTCCCAGATTTCTGCCACCCTTCTATCTTTAGAAATGAAATTTCAATAGTTTTTGTTTTGTTTTTTTGTTTGTTGGGTTTTTTTACTACCAGTCTCTCATGCAGACACTGAAGTTTGGAAAGAGAAAGTAATAGTAATAATGTTATTTCTTACCCACCTCTCCTTATGGCATGAGGCAGAAAACATTGCTAAAAACACACAATCATCTAAAGCATTCTACAAAATGCACATATTAAAATATATTTAACAAAACACATTAAATATACACAGCAAAGATTAAGTATAAGATGCAAGTTTAAAATTCCCAATTAAAACTGGCTGGGTAGGCCTGTCAGAAGTGATAGGTCTTTAGATGGTTTTAAATTCTGAGAGCTCATTTAGCTGTCAGACCTCTTCTGGCAGGTTGTTCCACAGTCTTCGGGTGGCCAATCAAAAGCTTCTCTGGGTGATGGTTGCCAGTCTGGTTCTGGCAGGCTGAAGTAGCCACCCACAGAGGACCTAAGTGTTTGGGGCAAATTATACAGGAGATGGTGATCCTGTAGTTAGCCTGGAAAGGAATGTAATCACATTCCTTGAAAACATAGTGCCTGAAAAGATGCTTCAGGGTTGTTATATTAGACAAAATAGCATCCAATATATCCTAAAATATCTCCAAAGGTTTAAATTTTACTTTGTTTACTAATTCAAACAGGGCAAAGTATTTAAATATATTTTCAATGTATTGTCGAAGGCTTTCATGGCTGGAATCACTAGGTTCTTGTAGTTTTTTTCGGGCTGTAGGGCCATGTTCTAGAGGTATTTCTCCTGACGTTTCGCCTGCATCTATGGCAAGCATCCTCAGAGGTAGTGAGGTCTGTTGGAAATAGGAAAATGGGTTTATATATCTGTGGAATGACTGGGGAGGGACAAAGAGCTCTCTGTACCTAGCTTCAGCAGAGAGCTCTTTGCCCCACCCCAGTCATTCCACAGATATATAAACCCATTTTCCTATTTCCAACAGACCTCACTACCTCTGAGGATGCTTGCCATAGATGCAGGCGAAACGTCAGGAGAAATGCCTCTAGAACATGGCCCTACAGCCCGAAAAAAACTACAAAAACCTAAATATATATTACGTATTTTATGAATGCAGCTTACTTTTAACTTTTCAGGGTCCATCTCCTTGGCCATTTCTTCTTTCCGCATTTCTGCTATTGTTCTTGGTCCCTTTTTGTCTTTTTGGGCATTAAATCCTTGACCAGATAAGAGGTCTTCAAAATCAGCAGCCATTTTCGGTTTGGAATCTTGATGAGTAAAATAAGTAAAAAAGATTCAAATTATTAATTTTATTCCTGATGTAGAAAGATACAACTTACACATCGCCCAAAATCGTTAAAAGATTATTACATTCAGCCCTCCACATTTGCTGGAGTTAGGGCCACAGGACCCCTGTGAAAGTGAAAAATCTCAAATAAATTAATTGTTTTGTTTTTTTACCTTTGAGAACACCTCTCTATAAATGTTTAGGTCTTCCTGCACAACTTTACTGTCAACTTCCACTGGAAGCTGAGCATACAACTGCATTGAATGACCTGGAGTTTCCTAGAGATGACATTTTAAATCAAATCCATGAATAATCAAATTTGTAGAAGTCAAAATCATAAATGTGTTGGGATGATTGTGCTTCCTGCAATATGACCTAGAGCTAAACATGTTTTGGAAGGTACCAGCATTTTTCCTCTATAGTATGGGGAGGGAATTATTATAACATCTTCTCTGCCAGCTAGACTGTTGTGAACCTTCAAAACAGCTGATAAAGTTAGACAGAGGTTTACTTACTGAGTCCCATATAATGTGCAGATTCTCTCCTAATGTTTCATCTGCATCTATGGCAGGCATCCTTAGAGGTTGTGACACTTCACAACCTCTGAGGATGCCTGCCATAGATGCAGGCAAAATATCAGGAGATAATACCTCTGGAACATGGCCATTACAGCCGGGAAACTCACAACATCTCAGTGATTCTGGCCATGAAACCCTTTGACAATAGATTGTCTTCTGAACTATGTATGAGCAGGTCTTCTCTCCCATTTTGATTTTGAAATCACATAGTAATTCAATCTGGAAGTATGTTATTAACTGACCAATAACGAGAAGCAAGAATTGAATGCCTTGTATTGTTTACTCAATATATTTTATGAGTTCATAAGCTGATGTAGAGGTACTCTGAATGTGTTGTTGTGAGCATCTCTGAATGAGGCTTTAAATAAAGCTAGGATCCCACTCTCTTCTCAATAGCACATCCCACTGGCTGTTGGAAGATTTCATAGTATGATATCATGTGTAACTGATGCTAATGGCAGAACATTAGTGGGCTCAGAAAGAGAACTAAATCTAGAGCTACCACTTTTAGAAAGGGCTCCATATATTATTAGAACCAGAATATCTAGATTGATTTCAAATATGCTGGATAAAACTCCTTAGTTTGGAAGTGTTCAATTTTTCCCCTACAGAATTACATTTATATCACAAGAAAATGTAAGAGTTTAAAAATTCTGTTTACCGGCACTGCTCGTCCCTTTTCCACGATCATTCTGACCACCTGGCATTGCAGAAAAGCTCACATTATAGTTAGGCCTATTTTGTGGAGAGGAATGTGGCATGCTTTGCTGGGGTTTGGTCTGCGATTGTGGCCAGGAGTATCCAGTGCCCTGTTGCCAGCTGCCACCTCCCATGGGCTGGGGAGATGGTTTCTGTGGCGATCCCATAGGAGGAAATCCTCCACCCATTCCTGTAGGTGTGCTGGGCTTGCTGGCAAAGGAAGGACAACCTGAAATATGAAGCAAAGTACTGCATGTTAATAGTTTGGTCTTCTTTGGAATAAGAAATGTATGCTATACCTGTATTTTAAGAATATCTAAATTTGAATGGCAATAGTGGATACTTCTAGGTTTCTTATCTGCCAGACAGCTTTGCCAGGATTCAAAGTAAAGTGCAAAATAATCTCTTTTATGCTGTTGAATTTCTGTATTTCTTCTTTTCCTGACATCCAAGATTACATAAAGGACAAAAATATTTAAAAAAAACAAAGTCCCTGAAACATAGTGATGTTTCTTCAGAGAGCCTTTGTCTTTCTCATAGTGTGACTGGTCAAAGTCACCGATGGATTTCCATAGCCAAGCAAAGATTCAGACCCTGATCTCTAGGGTCCTAGTCCAACATCTAAATCATTTTACACATTTGCTATCATTCAATTAATTAAAGATATCCTAGTTGTCACTGTTTCCTTGTGTTTAAATCTTCATATTTTTACATGTTGTTTAAAATTGCACAACTCCTTCCATATTAAAGCAGCAGCAGAAGAAAAGAACCACTACAACTACGTGACATCAGGCATATGTTTTGTTTTGATCCTGCAGAGCCACAAAAAGCCAGCAGAGGGGAGCAAGAAGCCTACTTCCAGAATCAACACGACATTTAAGCAGATGAGGCAGTACACAGCAAGGGAGAAATACCAGCCAGTGCTGGCATGGTAGAAATTAGATGCCAAAAACTGTCACAGGAGGGGCGAAATCCATTTATGAAAAAAAGGGGATTAGAAAAAAAAATCCCAACAGAATGAAAAAATATTGGAAAGTAAAAAAAAATGATTACATTGTATTGTTTTCATTGATCTTTCATCTGTATCCCTAATATTATCAATGTCAGGCTTGTTTATTAAAATTGATAACTTTTCACACATAAAAAACAAGGCTTCAAAAATAAAAAAAATCAGTGCAAAACCATAGCTGCTGGGACTTTGCCCTACATTCAGGTGATAGAATTTGCACAATCCCATAAATGCACAAATTATTTGAAATCTGAATGTAAGAAAACCTCTGGTTAAAACAACATGCTCCGCCATCGCTGATTGACAGGAACTCATAAAAATAACAATAAAAAGGTAGTCTTGAGTGGCAAAGTACATACTGTAGTAAATCCCATTAGATACAAGAACTTAAACTACAAGGAATAAAATCTCTAATGTCAACAAGCTGGAATGTGTCCAAAGGAGAGCCATTGAAATGATTAAGGCTCTGGAGAACAAGCCCTATGAGGAGCAGCTTAAAGAACTGGGCATCTTTAGCCTGCAGAATAGAAGGCTGAGAGGAGACATAATGACCATGTATAAATATGTGAGAAGAAGTCATAGGGAGGAGGAAGCAAGCTTGTTTTCTGCTTCCCTGGAGACTAGGACGCGGAACAATGTCTTCAAACTACAGGAAAGGAGATTCCACCTGATCATTAGGAAGAACTTCCTAACTGTGAGAGCTGTTCAGCAGTGGAACTTTCTGCTGTGGACTGTGGTGGAGGCTCCTTCTTTAGAGGCTTTTAAACAGAAGCTGGATGGCCATCTGTCAGGGGTGCTTTGAATGTGATTTTCCTGCTTCTTGGCAGGGGGTTGGACTAGGTGGCCCATGAGGTCTCTTCCAACTCATGATTCTATGACTCTCTTACACTGTTAAGTCTGTTTACAATAGTTTACGAACTGTTCTGTTAAAGGATTTGCATGAGTTCAGAAGCACAGGGAATGTTTAATGGTGTTTTACTTTGTTTTAAAGTAAGGTTTTAAGTGTGTTGTTCAATGCTGTTTTAAACTTAACATTGTATGTTTTGACTATATGTGTGTGCATTGTATTTTTTTGCCTTTTTGACCACCTTGAGTCCCAATCTAGAGACAGATGGGATATAAATAAAGTGGCAGATAGAAGCGTGATTAGTACAATTTTCCACAAAATTCCATTCTACAAGATACTGTCTGCTTTTTAAAAGCAGTGAGTACAAAATTTTCAAGTATCTAAGAGTGCTTCCATAGTTATAGCAGTTTGATAGCATGTTTGCTCTAGTACTTCCCTAAGTTACATATGATGGAACTAAGTTTTTAAAGAAACATCAAACTGCTATGTCAAGGAATGCTGTGGGGTTTTTTTAGCTTTGAATATGTTTTTATGGATTTTATATGTGAATTGTTAATAACATTGATGTTTAATTCTGTTGAAATGCTTTTAATGTAAGCCACTTTGAGTCTCTGTGTGACAAAAAATGGGATATAAATAAACATAATAATAATAATAATAATAGGTACGATACACACTGTGGGAAAACATTTAATATGAAAAAAGCTATTAATGTATTCCTACATTGCATGTAGTAATATCATGAAATTATTTTGTATCGAAATGCAGCCTTCTGGTAATGTTCTGTTCGTAAAGTTACATGTATTCTTGCCACTTAAAGGGGAACATAAAATTGTATTACTATACCATCCAATTTTGCTTTCGGTAAATATCGTTTCTCATCTGAGTGAAAAAGCTGATGACAAGCTTGACACATTATTTAAAATACCAATTGAATGGGGAAATGTGAGAATTTGACATGTTAAGATACTCTAAAGCAGGGATGAACAAAATGCAATCCTGGGGCTCCATGTTGTCTCTCTCCTCCCAAGCTGTTTTTGTAGTCCTTGGATATTATAGATTTTCTTCTTGCTTTAGAAGGAATTTTCTTCTTGCTTTAGAGCCTCCCAGAGCTTTAATTAACCTTCTAAATAGTTTTAAAAGTCTATTTTTAAAAAGCCAGACATGTGATTCTAGTCATTTCTGGCTTTGTTCCCCTTTTTAAATTTCTCTACTTTGGAGGGGGGGGGGCAGTCAACTGGGCTTCTGGGGTGCTTATTGCAGTTATTGGCCTTGCCCTAAAATTAAATCCTTCTTCACTCTCTATCACTTTTAGTTGCTTCCTGGCCTGTTTGTTCCTTTCCCTCCATTTCCCCAAAAAGACGTTCAATCCAAGACCTACTGGAGAAAATTGTTTATAGTGCAAAATTTCTATTGGGCATATGAATTCTTCAGTAAGATATCACTTTCTGACCCTTTTCAGCCTTGCAAATACATTTTAAAAGATGGCTTTCAACATTTGGGGGGGGGGGGGAATCCTGTCCCTACATCCTTCTCGGATCACATCCCTTTCCATTTTCTCCTCATGCCAATGCTCAATATATATTGAATATGGGTTTTTCTGTAAGTTTTTCAGGCTGTGTAATCATGTTCCAGAAGCATTCTCTCCTGACGTTTCACCTGCATCTATGGCAGGCATTATCAGAGATTGTGAGGTCCTCACAACCTCTGAGGATACCTGCCATAGATGCAGGTGAAACATCAGGAGAGAATGCATCTGGAATACGGCCATACAGCCCGCAAAAACGTACAAAAACCAGTGATTCCGGCCATAAAAATATTGCATATTTTAATCATGCCATAATACCCTAGACTGCCCAAATTAAAAGGGCCATGTGAGAAATATGGCTGCTTATTTTCAATCAGTTGATTACAATTCACTATGGTCTCTTTTCATGGTGTGGTTTCAAGTGCAGCTGTGATGATGTGATTCCACTGCAAGCAACTCTCATGCTCATACGAACCTGCTAGATTTGCTCCAAGACTCCTCAAGTCAGCAAAAGGATCCAGGGTTTGGGGTTTGGCTTGGTGCGTAGGGGTGCTATGCACGGACCCAGTAGGGCTGGTAGCAGCTGATTTGCTCCCCTTGCCTAGGCCACCTGTGAATAAAAAAGAAGCAGCTTGTCAAATGCAAATTAAATGACTATAAGAATCAAAATTAATATAATTGCTACATGTCTCATTGTGCTATCTCAATGCACAAAAAAACAGTAACATACTAATTTGAGAATGTTAAAAATTATGATTTGAAGATAAAATGATTCTTTAAAACTCACATTGAAAATACATTTAAGCAGGAGGACTGCACTAACCATGTAACAGCAAAAGTCCACATTATTTTTGGCAAAGAACGTGAGAGATGGCAATGTTTTGGGATGCTCCCTCATTAAATTTTGCCATCAAATGAACATACTCTAAAGAGCATAATGTTGTTTGTGTTTATGAATTTCCTTTTAACAATTATGTAATTGTAGCAGCATTGTAGCCATTAGACATATTCAGGCTTACAAAAAAGCAAATCCCTGTATGTCAAATTTTACAATTCAGATTTCTGCAACATCTTTAAACAAATCTTGCACATAGTTTCAGTTTTCTTTGAATATGATCTCTTTATCTATGGGATAAATTAGTGACATTAAAATGTGTCCTTGCATTCATCACGCATGAGTTTTTTTAAAAAAAACTTATTAGTAGTTGGGGGTGCTGACTATCAGCAGGAAAAGGGGTGATTTAACTCTTTACACTGTCACTGTGATCCTGATGAAAATAAATTTATATCTATGCTGCAAAAAATACCAGCACTAATAGGGGGTTGCCTATCAAAACAATAAGAAGCTTCAGAGCATTACTTTTCAGGTGTTTTGATTGGATCTACAACTCCCATTAATCTCACTCAGCATGTCTAGTGGTAAAGGATTTGGGTAGGTGCATTCCAAAACATCTGAAGGGCCAAACTTTTCCATCCCTGGAATGTTCAGTCCTATATTTTTCAGTTCCAACAAACATCACAGAAGCCACTGGCTACTATTCACATGTTTTAGAAAATACATGTAGTTTACAATACATTCAAATTCATGGACCTGTGGTATAAGCTTCTTAAGTGTGACAAACTGGTATATATTTTTAATTCTATAGGTTTTAGAGAAATGGTAGGCAAACATTTCTCAAACATCAGAGGTCCCTAACATCAAAAGAATACAAAGCTGCCTATCTAATTTTTGAAAGGACTTTATTTGCATACCTGCTCCACTATATAAGTTTATTATTATACAAAATGGGCTGTTAGGAAATAATGGAAAAGGTTATGATTTCAAGCTAAAGTTAATACATTTTATAAAGATTATTTAAAATATTTTTTTATTTTGTGTCAGGAGCAACACAAAATAAAAAAACTGCAAGTCACTTCTGGTGTGAGAGAATTGGCCGTCTGCAAGGATGTTGCCCAGGGGAGGCCTGGGTGTTTTACCATCCTTGTGGGAGGCTTCTCTTATGTCCCCACATGGGTAAACAGGAGCTGAGAGAGGGAGCTCAATCCACTTTCCCCAGATTCTAACCACTGACCTATCGGTCAGCAGTCCTGCCGGAACAAGGGTTTAACTCATTGCACTACCAGGGGCTCCTTATTTTAAAGAAGTTAGAAAATGGTTGTGACAAACCTGATGTGTGAGGCCATTCCCAGTCACCTGAAACATCTGGTTGAATGGAAACCGTTGGGGTACTTGAGGGACCTGAAACAAAACGACAGTTTCCTATTACCGTACTTGATTTAATTTGTTTTTATTTTGTGCAAAATTTGAAAAATTGTTCTTTTTTAAAAAAAAAAATCATTTAATTGTGTGGCACTCTCTATTTTTTGTGGGCTTCAGAGATACCAGTAATAAAGTAGTCCTGTGCCTAAATATGATCTTGGAATATAAGCAAAGTAAGCTCTGGTGAGTACTTGGATGGGAGATCACCAATAAATACCAGGTGATGTAGGCTATATTTTAGAGGAAAGAATTGACAACCCCACCCCCCACTCTTAGTATTCTTTGCCTAAGGAAATACTATTAAATTCATGGTTTCACAGGCAACTTGAAGATATACACATACACATTCTCTTTCAACCAGTCAAATGAGATAGCTATGCGTCTCTGATTTACACTTTATTGCAGAATTCACTTAGAATTAAAAGCAATGAAATGACTAACCTGGAGCATTTTAATTCATTTTCTAGAAATTATAAGTGGACTAGATTTAGAATTAGATTTAGAGGACACTGCATTTGTGATCACTGTATGTTTTACAAACATGAAGCACCAACATAGTTATTCAAAATCAATGTGCCACTTCATGTGAATATTTTTTTATACTTGGGTAATTTTTTTGAAAAGCATTATGGTGTAGAACAATGTTTCTCAACCTGTGGGTCGGGACTCCTAGGGGAGTCGCAAGAGGGTGTCAGAGGGGTCACCAAAGACCATCAGAAAACACAATATTTTCTGTTGGTCCTGGGGGTTTTGTGTCGAAAGTTTGGCCCAGTTCTATTGTTTGTTTATTTATTTACTTTACTTATATACCGCTGTTCTCAGCCCGAGGGCGACTCACAGTGGTTCATAACCAGTAAAAACAGCAATAATTCAATGCAATAATGTAACAACAATTAACAAATAACATATTATCCAAACAATAGAATTACTACATTAACCAATCACTATCGTCTCACCATCTAAAAACATAATCCGAAATTCATCATCCATTGTTCCATTCCTATGTTCATTGCCTGTCATTGCACTAGTTAGTCGAACGCCTGCACAAATAGCCAGGTCTTCAGTTTTTTGCGGAACACCATTAGAGATGGTGCCAGCCTAATGTCCGTGGGAAGGGCGTTCCACAGCCGAGGAGCCACCACCGAGAAGGCCCTATCTCTCGTCCCCGCCAGCCGTGCTTGAGAAGCAGGCGGGATCGAGAGCAGGGCCTCCCCGGAAGATCTCAAAGTCCTGGTGGGTTCATAGGCAGAGATGCGGTCAGATAGGTATCTTGGGCCGGAACCGTTTAAGGCTTTATAGGCCAACGCCAGCACCTTGAATTGAGCCCGGTAGCAGATCGGCAGCCAGTGGAGCTGGCGCAACAGGGGGGTCATATGCTCCCTGCGTTCCGCTCCTGTTAGAATCATGGCTGCCGCACGTTGGACTAGTTGGAGCTTCCGGGCCGTCTTCAAGGGCAACCCCACGTAGAGAGCGTTGCAGTAGTCTAGGCGGGATGTGACCAGAGCGTGGACTACCGTGGCCAAGTCAGACTTCCCAAGGTATGGGCGCAGCTGGCGTACAAGCTTTAACTGTGCAAATGCTCCCCTGGTCACCGCCGAAACCTGGGGTTCCAGGCTCAGCGATGAGTCCAGGGTCACACCCAAGCTGCGAACCTATTGTTGGTGGGGTTCAGAAAGCTCTTTGATTGTAGGTGAACTATAAATCCCAACAATTACAACTCTGCAACCCCACCAGTACTCATATTTGTGCATATGAGGTATTTGTGCCAAATTTGGTCCAGTGAATGAAAATATCAGATATTTACATTATAATTCATAACAGTAGCAAAATTACTGTTATGAAGTGCAACGAAAATAATTTTATGGTTGGGGGTCACCACAAATGAGGAACTGTATTAAGGGGCCACAGCATTAGGAAAGCTGAGAACCACTGGTGTAGAAGAAGTAGAGATTTTAATGTTGGACTGCAGCTCTGGAGACCAGGGTTCAAATGCTTGCTTGTCCATGTTAGATGATACTCTCAGTTTCAGAGGACAACAAAGGCAACCCCCCTTTGAACATTGCAATGAAAACAAAATATTTTTTCCAACTCTGTCTGGTAAGCCACAACTGCCACCTTCCCAATAGCTGTTGAGAATGTAACATCACCTTGCTATGGCATACATAACAAAAGGAATCTTCTCAGGGAGAGTTTTGTGCCTTGGGAAACTGACTTTTGGTAAGCAGATTTATTGCTTTCTCACAATTAACATTAAAGTTCTGAAAGACCTGTATCACCTTATCTAACCATTTGAAAATTTAGGGCAAGAGCATGATTTGCATTTTTCTGAATCCTGTCACATCCCACAACTGTATAAATATGTCGCATGCCCTTGCCTTCAGAATCACTCAGTACTGCATCCAAAGAAATACATCCACAAAAGCTCATGTGAAAACAAAAACCAATTCAACTTAAAGATGTTGCCATATTATTATTATTTTCTTCTTTTTTGCTGCAAGAGATCTAGGCACTCCTACCCTTGGTATGCTATGCCTTACATTTCATGGAAAAGTTCTTGATATCATATATATATGCATGACACACCCAAACACTTGTTGATTGTTAAGCTAGTAATGTGCAAAATGCACTTTACTATTGAATATTAGTGGTTTGAAATATTTAAGAAACTGGAAGATAAATTGCTTTACACCATTATTCTATTATAAGAAAGACCTTATGGAACCTTAGAGATTATAAAGATGAATATGACACAAAATTTCATTTATTTGGCATAAGCCCACTTCTTCCATAGACCTGCAACTCCAGGGAAAAAAGTTTTCACCACTTGTTCTTGTAATTCAAAATGAAAACACACACGCGCACACACATACATATATCTATATCTATCTATACATAAATCCTACCCATGTTAAAAGGGTCTCCTTGCACTGTAGGGGAAGGACTCCTTGCTGATTGAAGAAAAGGATCTGTGGTAGCATTTGATGAACCAAGAAAAGAGCCGAGGAGATCTGGAGCAGATTTCTTAGGACTACCCCCAAACGGATCAAAGGCAGTTGCTGCAAAAACAACATATTTGCTTTTCAAACTATGTATCCCTTTTACACTCAGGTATCAATGGACTGTAATCCTTTATGTCAGATCCATCTTGTACTATTCATAATTGTTCTGTAGTTACATACAAAAATATTAAGAATTTGTTAACAGCTTTTGAAGTCAAGAGGTGTGAAAAAGAAAAACTCATTTAGAAGTTTCATTCACGTTGCTATGTATTTCATTCCTCTTACATCTGGACTCAAATGCAGAAATGACTAAAAGCGAGTTAAACCTCTTCCAAATATGCTTGAACTGGGCGTTTGTGGGAGGATGTTTCATTTCTGACTCATCTGCCCAAACAAGCAAACAAGAAATCACATGTAATAACTGCTTCACAGTAGCCAACACCCTTGCTACAATACTTCACCAAAAGTTTTGCAGTTTTTTGTTAATACTGGGAGATTACCCTCATTTTCTATTGAGAATTTTAAAAATTATTTTATTCTGGCTCAGCTGTTCTTGTTTTCTTTCCTGTCTGTGTATATAAATATTACTAGTTATATAACTGTAGGAATGTTATTCATATTTGGCCCACTAGATTCTCTGTATTTTTTTTCTTATCCATCCTTTTCAAAATATATGACAGAAAATAACCTGGTTCTGAACAGGATAGAAATGCATGAATAGCAATTCAGATGCTGAGAAAAATGTCTGTTGCCTGTTTTTATATGCAAATTGCCTCTGATCTAGGGTTGCCTGATTTTTAAAAGGACAGTTCCTACACCTTCCATAATTTTTTCCTGTACCTTCCATAGAAGATGAAATATTATCAGGGGTTGCTTGTCATGCAGGCTCCACAGACTGAGACACCCAATTCCACATGGCCATTGAATATATACTGTGCAAACTTTGTCCTGTTTTTCATCTGGTAACCTTACCCTGACCTATTTTCAATGTCACGTTCAGAAATGCTACCAATTGCAGCAAATACACCAACAGTAACTGCACACATAAAGATCAAAAAAGGAAAATTGACTTTGTGCTGTTAGGAAAAAAATACATTTCTACTGTACTATCTTCAGCAGCTTTTAAAAGAAGAGTTGAAAAGTTGCTTCAAAAAGTTATTATCTATATTTATAGTTTCAAGGCCAAAAGAAGCCATAAGTTATCATTATTTATAGTCCTAAATACAGTAATTGGAGCCCCTGGTGGCGCAGTGGGTTAAACCGCTGAGCTGCTGAACTTGCTGACCGAAAGGTCGGTGGTTCAACTCTGGGGAGCAGGATGAGCTTCTGCCAACCTAGCAGTTTGAAAACATGCAAATATGAATAGATCAATAGGTACCACTCCTACGCGAAGGGAACGTCACTCCAAGCAGTCATGCCGGCCACATAACCTAGAAAGCGCCTACAGACAACACCGGCTCTTTGGCTTAGAAACAGAGATGAGCACAACCCCCCGAGTTGGACACAACTAGACTTCATGTTGAGGGGAAACTTTTACCTTTACAGTAATTAATACCAGCAAATCAAATCAGTGGAATCAGTGGTAAGTAAATGCTTATGCAAATTCTATTTTAAGGGAGTATACTTTAGTTAGGGCTAATAATACTCCATGCTCAAAACATCTCTTAAAAGTAAGTTTTCACTCTCCAAGTTCTCAAAAGTAGCTAGCGATTTCTAGTTAGTTATTTCAAAGTGGTGCGTCTTTTATCTGTATTAGTGATAGAAAGGAGAGAAGAAATAAAATATTAAGCAGAAAGGAAAGCTATGTGGGAGGGAACAAAGGTTTAGTAATAGGTAGAGAGAGGAAAAGAGAAAACGGCTCAATAAAAAGTAATAATGACAGGGAAACTTTGAAAACTCCCTGGCTGTGGTTCATGGAATTGTGGCTGCACTAGGGGGGCAGGCTACAAGTTTAATGTGCTGATTTCAACTATCTTTTTGACTTCATATTGAGTCAAGGTCACATGTCATCTAGTCAAGGTCACATGTTATCACAGTCAAAAGTATAGACGTAGTTGTGATTGTATTCTGAAAGCTTATCAATGCTAAGCTCAGTTTGTGCCAGTGGTTGTCATGACTTGCACCAATCCTCTTGCACTGGTCCACATAATAGCACCAGATTTGAGAAACCAAGAATTTTTTTATATGTCAGGAGCGACTTGAGAAACTGCAAGTTGTTTCTGGTGTGAAAGAATTGGCAGTCTGCAAGGACATTGCCCAGGAGATGCCAGAATGTTTCTGATGTTTTACCATCCTTGTGGGAGGCTTCTCTCATGTCCCCGCATGGGAAGCTGGAGCTGACAGAAGGAGCTCAGCTGCACTCCTAGATTCAAACCTCTGACCTGTGAGTCCCAAATACAGTGGACTCATTTTGTCTGTATAAATGATGCAAATATTGACTTATCATTCAGCTTGACTGGGTCTGTTCTAATTGAGAGTATCAATTGGCTTTGAGTGCATGATTCCATAAAACAGGGATGGGAAGTCTTCTTTTCAGTCCAGGAACAATTGGTGAATAAGCCCAAATAAAAAGCAGCTTGGCCACTCTCTCACATATATGTATCCATGCAAAGCAGAGCCATCTTTCCTAGACTAATAAACATTCATTATTTCCCAAGAGGAAGGTTCTAAGACCTAAGTTCGTGGAAGGGAACATGCTCAACAGTGCGGGATAGCGTCTGTTGGGGCTACTGAGGGAGAAGGAAAGACAATCTTTAAAAAGTGTGTGGGGGTGTAGATGCATCTTCCTCAAGTTCTGGGAGGATCTGAAAATTTCCTTCTGTTCCCAATTCTCAGAATGAAGTTACTGGCTGTTATTCCAAATTAAATTAATAGCCGCATAATAATAATCTCTAGATTCTAATCCCTTGAAAAGCCTTAAAATGAGAATCTTAACAGAATCTTTTGCATTATGAGAGAGAAATATAAGAAATTGTTTTGTGTGTGTTTTTACCCAAACCGTATCCCAAGTACTACAAAACAGGAATGTTTACCTTCTCCTACTCTTGGGGACAAAGATGGGGATGCAGAAGTCGCAGACCGTCGTGGGGTGGAGTGTGCAGACCCAGTTCCTCCCATCTGAAACACATCCTCAACTACAGGTTGTGCAGCTTGGTTTGATCCTGCAGAATGGCCAGCCCCAAAAAAATCACTCAGCAAGTCTGAATTAGAGGGCGGTGCACTGGCTGCTGCTGGGAAGTTCTTACTCATAAGGCCACCATCCAAACCTAAAAGGTCCACTTCTTCTGGAGGTGGGGGTGGAGCTGGTGGTTCTTGGTGCTTTTTGCTGTGCTTTGGTGCCCCATGGATTTTTTCCGCACTGGTGTTACTGTGCTGACTGGAGAGAGATAAAAGTTCATCATCCGATTGCTCACTTTCTTCATGAACCAATGCTGCTCGATCTTCAGAACTAGGGTGTGAGCCACTTCTCTCCAGTTTTTGATCTAAGTGGTTAAACAGAAGCGCCAAATTAGCAAGAAGTTCTTTTCGTTCTCTAATGTTTGATACTGGTAGGCGACTTTTCCTCTTCTGGAAGCAAACAACATTCATCATAACAACATTTACACTTAAAGTAATTTTAGTTAAATTCTTAACAAAAAAACTGAAACCCTAGGATTCAAAGCTGGGAGAAGTATGGTGTTTTCAAGGACACCATTACATTCAGATGTAATAATGGAAAACAGAATGAGGCTTATATCAGAGTCTGCCCAGATCTCCAACGCACTGTGGACTTTAATGGGCCAATTACATTCTATGCATGTATTAGCCGGTTCTTTTCTGTGGACCCTGTAATGCTTATGGGCTGCCCCACAGCATTGACAGGTTCTCTGGAGATCGACAATGAGATGAAAGAGGGAAAGAAACTAATATATGGATTATGAGTTGAGGAAAGTGTTACTCAAACAGAAATCTTATGTACCTTGCCAGCTGAGTGATGACAAGAATGCACCCTGTCCGGCATTCTTTAGGTTATCTTGTGGCACATCTATAGAACCTCTACCTATAACGTACAAAGTCAAACCAAACCAAAGATGAGTGAAATTGAAAATGGTCAAACTTGAAGTTTTCATGAAAGCGGAAACTTTGACACAAATAATAGTTCTTACCAGCCATGGCAAGGGCATCCTGGTGTTCCTGATGTGAAGAGAAAAGAATGCTTGGGTTGATGTCTTTTGTTGTAAAGTTCTCCCATGGAGGAGTTAGGTCAGTCGGTCTATCGGTAGAATCTATTTCTATCTCCAGTAGGACATGGAACAGTTGGGGATATTTTTCTGGTGAATCACATGCGTCCAGTTCAGGTCTAAACATTGACAGAAAGTTCTTCAAATTAAAATAAAAACAAACAGTTTGATGATGACCTGTTAAAGTCAATTTTGAGTCTGAATATGATGGTAACAAAGAAGTTACTTTGTTGTAATCAAAGCTCGGCTTTGCATTATATACTATTATGTACTGCAGAGGACAAATGTGCAATTTATGGTCTTCAGGAGATTGATAGATTGCAGTCCCCACCACTCTTTAGTTAAGTATGCGAGCTAGAGCTACGTAATGGGAGTTCCAGCCCAAAAGCACATAATGGATCACAAGTTACCCAGCCTATTCAGCATTTCATTACAGTGGCCAGGAGCATATGAGTGGCAAGTTCAATAATCATCAGTGCACCTCCAAAGAAAGCCTAATTGAGCTCAAAACAAAGAAACCTATAAGTTAATTCCATGAGTTCGTTCTGACAGCTGCTATAGCCATTCCTGTTCTAGCCTATTCTGGAGCCAAGTTGTTAATACCATTACTATCCTCTTTCCTTGCAGTACCTGACTTCTTCAGTCAATAGAGAAGAGAAATATAACCACACTGCAGTGAGATTGGTTTACAGTCAGAATGGACTGCAGTTGTTACAGACACCCCTATTCTCTATATTCACTAACCAATTTAATGTATAGATTGACTTTAATCATCTTACATGGTAGGCAATTTTTGCCAGGGCCCAGTTTTCACCTTGGTATCCACTGTAGACTGTAAGATACCAAAATCTTATAAAAAGGCATGAAACAAAAACTAGGAATCAACAGTTTGCTGCCAGGTTTAAAAAATAACTGTAATAATCTAGAGGTGTGTTCAGAGGTTTGTTGGAATGAAGCAAGTGGGGGAGTATATATCCCTGGAATAATGTCCAGGGTGGAATAAAGAACCCTTGTCTGTTTGAAGCAAATGTGGATGTTGCAATTTGCAAGCTTGATTAGCACTGAGTAGCCTTGCAGCTGCAAAGTCAATCAGTGAGGGTATCTGCATGAGGTAGCCTGGCTGTTGTTGCCTGGAGGCACCCTCTGTTTGAGTGGTGTCATTATCATCATTCCCACAAACTCCTGTTAGAATAGAATAGAATAGCTTTATTGTCATTATGCTATTTCACAATGAAATTAAATGATGATGATGATGATGATGATGATGATGATGATGATGATGATGATGATGATGATTGGGTCTTGGTGCCTCCAGGCAACAACAGCCAGGCTACCTCTATACAGATACCCTAACTGACTTTGCAGCTGCAAGGCTACTCAATGCTAATCAAGCTTGCGAATTGCAACATTCCACTTGCTTCAAACAGAAAAGGGTTCTTTATCCCACCCTGGACATTATACCACAGGGATATATACACCCCACTTACCTCATTCCAACAGGCGTCTGAACAAACCTCTGAAGGTGCTTGCCACAGATGCAGCGAAACTTCAGCAGTGAATGTTTCTGGAAAATGGTCATACAGCCCGGAAAAATTACAACAACCCAGTGATTCCGGCCATGAAAGACTCTGATAACAAATTTAGAGTTAGGCAGCAAGGAACATCCCTCATATCACTCATGTACTTGATATTTTTAGCTTCAAAGTTTTAGCAGACAATAGCCTGCAAGCCACACTCCATTCACCTTTGTACATTGATTCCTGAACCTTAATTTCAAGAATCATTACTGTGTTTTCATTATGATTAACAATTTTCTAATTTATTTCAGATCATTCATTTATTGACAAAGGAAATATTTTAGTCTTATCACTTGAATTTCTAAAAATTTACAACAAACAGTAAAGCACATGGATTTCTTTGTGGATTTTGGTTCTGCATCTGTTGGACCTCACTGTCATATCAGTCCATATCCACCTATTTCAACATTCAACATATGGTCTCTGGCTGTGGGATACTCACTTCGTAAATTTTAATACCGTCGTTCCCAGGGCTATGAATCCAGTGTGAAACTGAATCTGAAATATTTGTGTGTTTGTCATCTAAAGTGAAATGATAAACATTCTGTTTTAAAAATAAAGAAGCACAACTGATTTCAAATGTATACTAAACACAAATTAGCAAGTCTGTTCTATTTCACTATAAGCTATTGCTATAAGCACATCTTTAAAATTAAATACTGGTAATTTCAAATGGCTAATTGAAAAATCAGTAAAAGAAAGCAATATTAGGAGATATTTAGTTGTATAGTGTTGGATTCAGATTTAGATTGTAATTTTATTCTGACTCACCTAAACCATATTGAACTAAATGAGATTTATTTTTCAGTCGACTCATACAGGATTACGTTATTTGTCACACTAAATCCATAAAATAAGTAACTTAAAATACTATCAATATCAAAACATCTATGTTATTTATGAATAAGACTGGATCCCATCATTCTCTATTACTCACACTTTTAACATGTTGTTAAAGTGACTAACAAAATAATAAAAACCAAAAATAACAACAAATTAACACAAAACTAAAATAGCAATAAAATCCATTTCAGAATAGCTGTTCTTATAAATAAATGATTATAAATATTTCATTCTAATCTACTGTTCATAAAGTCATGTGATACAAGTTAATTTGTAAAGTGCACAACAGGTAAAGGTAAAGGTCCCCTCTGACATTAAGTCTAGTCGTGTCCGACTCTGAGGGGTAGTGCTCATCTCCATTTTTAAGCCAAGGAGCCAGTGTTGTCTGTAGACATCTCCGAGGTCATGTGGCCAGCATGACTGTTACTTTCCTGCAGACACAATACCTATTGATCTACTCCCACTTGCATGTTTTTGAACTGCTAGGTTGGCAGAAGCTGGGCCTAACATTGGGAGCTAACCCAGTCCCTGGATTTGAACCGCCAACCTTTTGGTCAGCAAGTTCAGCAGCTCAGATGTTTAATCCATTGTGCCACAGAAGTATTATTTCTCTTCTTATGAACTTTAGGATGAATGCAGTGTCATTCCATATAATCCTTCCACTTTTTTTAAAACAGATATGAATCATACAAGAAAGTGAGGCAGATAAAGGTAGGCATATTACGACTATCCAGGCTATTATGATGTGGAGTATCAGAGGCAGCATGCCAATGCATTTCAGTTCCTATGGAATGTGAGGCAATTAGTTACCCTTATGCTCTTGCTTATGAATGCCTCATAGAAGACTATCTGGCCACTGTGCAAACAAAATGCTTGATGAGATAAACATTTAGTCTAACCCAACATGAAGAATGACACAGCAAAGCCTGCCAAAAGGTCTGAAATGAGGAATATTCTAAAATAGAATCCATCTGGTAAACCGTATGTAGTGATTCTCATTCATCTACCAAGCAGGTTGACAAAAGGAGAATTACTGTCTCTCTAATTTTACTTCCACATTCCCTGGTTTATGTTTTGCCAAAGTACATATTGAACCCACTTTACTACAAAAAGATAGTCTCCTTTTGGCTCATTTTTATATCTCTTTGTTACAAATCAAAGAATGAATAGACTTGGGTCAACTAACAGTTATGCATTTCAAGATTGCAGTCATACTTTAGCTTGAAGCCGTCCCCCAATGGTTGATCGCATATGGTAGACAGAAATGACCACATCGCCATGGACAGTGACTCCTAATGGAATTACAATTTTTCCTTCTTGAACACGAAATTCCCTAAAGAAAAGCAAAATAGCATGCCTTGTATAAGACTTATTATACATAGCAACAACTGACATGAGGTGGAAAACAACAAAATCATACTCTAGCAAATTTGTTTTTTTTAAGAAAATTCCCTTAGTTTATACCCTAGCTGAATTGCATGTAAGTTGGTTAGTTATTGCAATCCAAACACCTTGATGCTGGAATCAGAGAATAAATTGCATTCATATTATTGTAACAATAGTTGATGTTATTATTTTTAATTTTAACCATGCATTCTAATTGACACCGACTTGTTTAATTCTCAAAACATCTTGATAGACTGATGCATATCTCAGTAGCATCTCATATGGCAAATTCTATTCAATCCATGTATAGGTTGAGCATGCCTTACCAGGAATTCCAAAATCTAAAATCTTCCAAAATCATCCACATGGGTGGCTAAGTTAGTGACAACATCCTTGCTGATTATTCGATATACACAAATTTTATTTCATGCACAAAATTATTATAAGTATTGTGTATAAAATTGCCTTCAGGCCATGTGTATGAGGTGTGTATGAAACATAAATGAATTCCGTGCTTAGAGTCCCATCCAAGGTATTTCATTACATCCAAATAAAGATATTCCAAAATCCAAACTAGCCACAAATGTGGGTACTAGGCAAGCTATTCTAGAGATGACATTCCATAAATAGGATACTAACAGTGAAATGTCTCATAGTGCAAATTAGCCACATAGAAAAGAGAAATAATCATAGAGTCCAGGTAGGTAACTACAGGAGGAATGCATCTTCAGGTAACATGGCCCCAAACCATTTAGAGCTTTAAATGCTAAAACCAGCACTTCTAATTCAGCTCAGAAACAGCCTGGCAAGCAGTCTGAAGACATTTAGCTCCATAAGGCTAAAGCGAGTTAGCATTCCTTGCATACTATAGGAACTATGTTCTCAATGTCTAGATTCTCTTCAAACTAGAACCATAGAACATACTGTGTCTGACTAATGCTGGGTTGATGAAGGGTGCATCCAGGCAGCGCCTAAAATGCACGACAGCCTGCATTTTTATGTGGGGCATCCAAATGACACCTTAGTTAAAAACAAATTCCTTCGGGACAAAGCAGGAAAACCTTGCTTTGTCCCAAAGTAATTTGTCAGCTCAAAAGACCCGGATCTTTCAGAAYACCTGTGTCTTTCCAGCTGTGGGTACTGCCTGGACTGCCTTCTCAGAAGTCTTGGGACTTCTGAGGGGGCAGCCRGCACAGTCCTCTCATGTTTTCTGGGATCACTGAGCCTGGAATATCTGAGAGGGCTCTAACGCACTCCCCAAAAACCCCCAAAAAGGGTTTAAAAAAGAAAATAACTTACCTGGCCACCATTACCATGCTACTGGAGCTCTCCTGGCATGTAGAAATGACATACTAGGAGAAGAGGGGAGGAGAAACTGCCCCTCCTTCTCCTGGTGCACCATTTCTATGCGCCAGGAGAGCTCCGGCAGCATGGTAATGGCAACCGGGTAAGTTATTTTATTTTTAATGATTTTCGGGGGGGGGGGTTGTTTTGTGTCTGGGTGCCCTGCTGGAAAGTCTGGAAGGGCATCTGGACACACACTCACCCCAGGAAAGCATGGGGTTTCTGGGGTGTGTGCGGACTCCAARGCAGGCCCAAGTGGGTTTTTAAAACCCAATTGTGCTTGCATTAAAGTCCTATCTGGAGCTGCTCTTAAGACATACTGACATATCAATACTTCTTTCAACATGATGGATACCAGTTAATAAAAACAGACTTTCGTTCACACAGCATTCTCATTATATGCAGTCGGGACTTACTTCATTCTTTCATATTCCTGTGAGGTTGTGAAGATTCTAGTTTCTCCAATGAGGATATCACAAAAAGGCCGGCAGCCATTTCTCTGCTTGTTAAAACATGGTATTGGGCTGAGCAGGACTGATTTGATTGTTAGAGGCTTGCAGTGAGGTTGAATGGGCTTGTCTGCTATTAGATCACATATATATCCTAGGTACCTGAAATGAGTAAGTCAAAAGAATTCATGTTACTGCTTTGTATCTTTAGATCATTTTCTAAAAATGCCTGTTTGTGGTTTGCCTAATCTGCCATGATCTGATATTTTCAATTGAACAAGAATTGCTGTCATGGAATAAAAGTGCTTTACCTGATAGATAAACATGATAACATTAAATGAACTAATGGATGGATATCCAGTGATAGCCAAAGGGAGAAAATCAGCATAAATGTACATAGCATTCTGGACATTACGCAGTTCCATTTGACTCTATAGCTCGTAACAAGGCAATCACCCAATCCAAAGTTGTAGCATCATTCAATATGTCAGGATTGGAACCCCATGGCCTTCCAGATATTGATGGTCTGTATTTTTTATCATACTTGCTTACTGATAATGGACTTTAAGATTTTTACAAACTAAAATGCAAGAACATTTAGAGAGTCATAAGTTCCCTGCCTTTTCCATATATGAATCTAGCCTTAGAATCCAGACCAGGTTAGGAATCATGCAGTCCTCCAGGTGCTGTTGGAGTGCATCTTCTGGCATTCCTCACCATAACCTATACTAGCCAGGCTCCACAGGAGCCCTAAGAAGTCTGGAGGAATACATCATTCAAATCCTGGTTTAGGCTACTGTTTGAATGCTTGCAACTTTCAATACTTGCAGCTTATGTGTTTTTGAAACAGCCCCATGTTTCTCTTCAAAGTCCTTTGATGTTTGGGGAAGCACGGAAAAGTATTTTCCCCACTTAATTCTGGAATAGTTTCTAATTCAGGAGAACACGTGTAACGCAACTGCAGAAATCAAAGGGCTTAAAGTCAATTGTTACCTCCAACCAGTTACGTATTTCAGTTACAATTTTAAAAATCCCTATCGATTCCAGTGTAGCCATGTAGCTATAAGTTAAGAGTTGAGAAGGGGCATCCCTTAACCCCATTTTCGCATGTACCCCTTTGAAGGAATCTACCTACACTGTTTTTTCAGGTGATGTTCAGGCAAAGATCTTCATATTTCAAAAACATTAAACTCCTGGTTTGCCTAACCACCCCGCCCCCAGCTGCCAAAGCATAAACATAGAGAAAAACACCACATTCCACAGACACTGCCAGTCCATCCCATATGGGTGTGTGGAGGCAAAAATTGGCTCAGGTGTAGTTACTCACTCCTGTTGTAATTGTTGAAGAAGAGTAGATTTCACAGAAATGGGTTCGAAAACATGGGCATAAGTACCACAAGATAAACACTAAAGTAAAGTAAAGGTAAAGTTTTCCCCTTGACATTAAGTCTAGTCGTGTTCGACTCTGGGGTGGGGGTGCTCATCACCCGTAGACACCTCCAAGGTCATGTGGCCAGCATGACTGCATGGAGCACCGTTACCTTCCCGCCAAAGTGGTACCTATGGATCTACTCACATTTGCTCGTTTTCAAACTGCTAGGTTGACAGAAGCTGGGACTAACAGTGGGAGCACACCCTGCTCCCCAGATTCAAACCACCAACCTTTTGGTCAGCAAGTTCAGCAGCTCGACGGTTCAACCTGCTGTGCCACCCGGGGGCTCCTAGATAAACACTACATTGAAAAAAAATTTGGTCAGTCAAGAAACCAAGTGTTCCTTACCTTCTATGGGATGGCCAGAGTACAATTCCTGGTCTCTTTGAATTTAGCAACTGAATGGCAAGAGCAGGATTAGAGAATAGATGACAGAAACAGAACATTGCACTGACCAGGACTGCTGATGCTACACGACCATCCTGTCAAATAAAGTGCAAGAACATCCATCAGGAAAATCTCACCCTCTAATTGTTTTCCCCCACAATATGCTCTGAACAAGATTCCATCAGCACAGAACTCCCAAGCTAAAACAGAATACCCTTAGAAATGCAAAATGCGCTTCCTTCTACATAAACATGCACAGCATTAGATAAATTAAGCAGCGATAAATGTTTGGCTGAGATTTGTAGCAATTGACCACATATTTTTATGAACACATTACAGATTGCAAATGTTAATTTTGGGGGCTACAATTTCCAGGATGTTTCCAGACAACATGACTGCTGGCTCAAGGATACTGAGGATCATAGTTCAAAAAGTAGTTTTCTAAAGCTCTACTTTTGAAAACAACTGCAAACAACTAACATTTCAGTATTAAATGACACATCAAGTATTACATTCACACAATAGCAAATTACTTCAAAGACTTATTAATATCTAAAAGAATTATCAAAATTCATGAACCACTCACTCAATAATGCCTATATAATCTAAAAAGCCAATCTGTACGAAAAGAAAAATCTCCCTGGCAACTGTTAACTCTGGTATAAAGACTCTCCACACAGAGCAGGCTTCTTCATCACATCTACCACATAGGTGGATGTGATAAAGAAGCCTATCGACAATATAATATCTGTATGTCAAACTGTACAAAACAAACAGCCTGCAACGTATTAAATTGCATTCAGCTTTGCTTAGATATACTCAGCACGATGTCATCAACAAGCTACATTCAATGTTCCTTGTTACTGTACTGGCTTTTGCTGCAAAGATACAAGTTCCTATATATAGTAAGAGCCCTATAAGGTAAAGGTAAAGGTTTTCGTCTGACATTATTAAGTCCATTAGTGTCTGACTGGGGGTTGGTACTCATCTCCATTTCTAAGCCAAAGAGCCAGCATTGTCCATAGACATTTCCAAGGTTTTATAACCGGCATGACTGCATGGAGCACCATTACCTTCCCGCTGGAGCGGTACCTATTGATCTACTCACATTTGCAACCTAGCAGTTTTCGAACTGCTAGGTTGGCAGAAGCTGGGGTTAACAGCGGGAGCTCACCCCATTCCCCGGACCCGAACCTGTGACCTTTCGGTCAGCAAGTTCAGCAGCTCAGTACTTTAACCCACTGCACCACTGAGGGCTTCTGACATACCGAAATAACTTTTAACATATTAAATATGAGCAACTTAAATATCAAAGCTTGTTCTTAATGTTGTGCATATTCAAAATCATATTTTGAACAAATTAATGTCTTCTTCATTAAACAATATCAGGTTTTAACGTCTTCATTAAACAATATCAGTTTTTTTCAACATGCAGTTTTCATAATCTCTACTTATCTAAAAGCAAGCTTGTTTTAATTAGAGGTTTCTGAAAAATGGTTACTTACTGCCTGACTTACCATACAGTGAATAACGCAAACGTTTTTAGGATTTTGTTGCAACCAGTTATGCATATTTTTACATACAGCATAAAGGTTGTGAAGACTTGGTGCTTGTCTACCTGGCCAACTACATTCAGATACCTGAAAAAGGGACAAGAGTGAAAAACAATCATTTCAGCACCTCCAAGTCATGCACTCACAGTACAACCATGTTATTTTCATCTTGCAGGACAATGTGATCCTCAAAGCATGTTCTTTTATGGTAATTTAATGAAAGTGTAACTAGCTTTGACCAATAACCAACCAGGGCTCAATCTTCACTTATGTTAACATAGAATTAATGCTGTTTATACTAGTTTAACTGCCATGGCTCAATGCTATGAAATCATGGGAATTAAGAGTTTGACAAGTTCTTTAGCCTCCTTTGCCAAAGAGTTCAGATATCCCACCAAACCACAAATCCCAGGATGCCAGAGCATTAGGCCATGGCAGTATAAGCACTTCAAACTACATTCATTCTACAGTGTAGATTAGTGGTTCCCAGCCTGTGATCCGTGGATCACCAGTGGTCTGCAAGAACGAAAATATGGTCCATGGCCTCACCATTCCTACACCTGTGCATCGAAACCACACGGCAATGAGAGCAACAACCTCTCTGGGAGGGGTGAGACTGACTACCCACGAAAGATTACTACTACCACATCAGCTCTAGATTATTAAATAAGGTTTTCTGTAGGCCAGCAGATGGTGGCTACTGGGTAGCATATGATCTCTATCAGAAACTAGAACTGATGTGGTCCAACCAATGCAATTTTCTGAATCAACACCTCAAATAACCAAACCAAATCTAAAGTTGACCAAAAACTGATTCATAACCCTTTTGGTACTAATGTTGGTGTGTGGTCCCTGATCAAAGTGGTTCCTGGTGAAAGTGGTGCCTGGCTAAAGTGGTCCCTGGTCAAAAAAAAAGGTTGTGAACCACTGGTGTAGATGCAACCAAAGTTAAAAGTTTTTAAAAGAAAAATCAGCTTAACAAAGTGAAAACATAAGATATTATGTAATTGTCATCAACCTCAGGTTGTTGTTGTTGTTCATTCGTTCAGTCGTCTCCGACTTCGTGACATCATGGACCAGCCCACGCCAGAGCTCCCTGTCGGTTGTCACCACCCCCAGCTCCCTCAAGTCCAGTCACTTCAAGGATGCCATCCATCCATCTTGCCCTTGGTCGGCCCCTCTTCCTTTTGCCTTCCACTTTCCCCAGCATAATTGTCTCTCTAGGCTTTGCTGTCTCCTCATGATGTGGCCAAAGTACTTCAACTTTGTCTCTAGTATCCTTCCCTCCAGTGAGCAGTCGGGCTTTATTTCCTGGAGGATGGACTGGTTGGATCTGCTCGCAGTCCAAGGCACTCTCAGCACTTTCCTCCAACACCACAGCTCAAAAGCATCGATCTTCCTTCGCTCAGCCTTCCCTAAGGTCCAGCTCTCACATCCGTAGGTTACTACAGGGAATACCATGGCTTTGACTAGGCGGATCTTTGTTGCCAGTCTGATGTCTCTACTCTTTACTATTTTATTGAGATTGTACATTGCTCTCCTCCCAAGAAGTAAGCGTCTCCTGATTTCCTGGCCACAGTCTGCATCTGCAGTAATCTTTGCACCTAGAAATACAAAGTCTGTCACTGCCTCCATGTTTTCTCCCTCTATTTCCCAGTTGTCAATCATTCTTGTTGCCATAATCTTGGTTTTTTTATGTTTAGCTGCAACCCAGCTTTTGCGCTTTCTTCTTTCACCTTGATTAGAAGGCTCCTCAGCTCCTCCTCGCTTTCGGCCATCAGAGTGGTGTCTTCTGCATATCTGAGGTTGTTAATGTTTCTTACAGCAATTTTCACTCCAGCTTTGCATTCATCAAGCCTCGCACATCATGATGATGTGTTCTGCATACAAGTTAAAAAGGTTGGGTGAGAGTATGCAGCCTTCACAATCTTGAACCAGTCTGTTGTTCCGTGGTCAGTTCTTACTGTTGCTACTTGGTCCTTGTAAAGATTCCTCAGGAGAGAGACAAGGTGGCTTGGGATGCCCATCCCACTAAGAACTTGCCACAATTTATTATGATCCACACAGTCAAAGGCTTTAGAATAGTCAATGAAGCAGAAATAGATGTTTTTCTGAAACTCCCTGCCTTTCTCCATTATCCAGCGGATATTGGCAATCTGGTCTCTCGTTCCTCTGCCTTTTCTAAACCAAGCTTAAACATCTGGCAACTCTCTCTCCATGTATTGCTGGAGTCTTCCTTGCAGGATCTTGAGCATTACCTTACTGGCATGAGAAATAAGGGCCACTGTACAGAAGTTTGAGCAGGTATCTGTCTTAAAATGTCTTCTTATAATTATAATAGAGTCCCGCTTATCCAACATAAACAGGTTGGCAGAACGTTGGATAAGTGAAAAGGTTGGATAATAAGGAAGGATTAAGGAAAAGCCTATTAAACATCAAATTATGTTATGATTTTACGAATTAAGCACCAGAACATCACATTTTACAATAAATTGACAGAAAAAGCACTTCAATACATGGTAACGATATGTAGTAATTACTGTATTTACAAATTTAGCACCAAAACATCACAATGTATTGAAACAGCTGTGGATCCGGGTGGGAGGCAGACTGCATTGGATAATACAGAACTTCGGATGAGCGAAGGTTGGATAAGCGAGACTCTACTCTACTATATAGATATTCCACATAGCTCTGTAGACTATTGACAACAGATGAAAGCCTTTGTGTACACGATTGTTCTAAATATGAGAGGCTATTTCCTGTTTAACACAGTAGCTTTACAACTTGGTTACGTTATTTAAAATGTTATGTGGGTTTGAACAATTAAAAATGACTAAAATATAACTGTACCTTTTGCACTGGTGGATCACATGAGATGCCGTGAACGTGATAACACCAAATGTTGTTAAACATGAACTATCACTATCATGAAATATGATTTTTTCAGTTTGATTTTTTAAAGTAAAATGAAGGCTTTTTTAAAAAAAATTACATATGGCCTCTTATTTCCAAGGATAGATGTCAGGGTCATTTTGGGAAAATGGTCATTAGATCATTTGATTTTATCCAGCCATATTATGAGAGTCTATATGGGAAACACCTCTTTCTTAAGAAGACAGAAATATGGAAAGAGGGAGAACCTAGCTTTGCAGCCTCCAGGAGGAACACTCCAGATAATTTAAGAAGTTATAAAGCAGAGACTATGTATATAATTCATTGACTGTCTTAAGATAGCCTAAGGGTGCAGGTTAGATTTATAGATGACACTGTATCAAAAATATCTTGAGAGAGCTTTTCTATCGCAGTACAACAAAACAGACTGAATGAAAAAATGTTCTCCATGTCTTCTCCGGCCATTGCTTTAAAATTAATGAGACTTTATCCGCAATTAGTCCAGATTGCTCTCTGCTACTATCTTAATCTCAGCAGTTATTCTCAAAATGACCAATGAACCATACACTAAATATCCTCCAACTAGGCCTCAATGCATCTGAGTGTAAGTACTAACTGGCAGTGGAGAAATGAGCACATTTGGAGGAGGGGAGCATCTATAATTATGTACGTAAACACACATTTATGAGATACAAAAGCACCAGTATCCCTGGGTTTTTTTTTCTATATTAACATTGGAAAACACTGACAACACTGAAATATACTTGGTTTGTTTCTAAATTTTATTCCATGAACAGAAAGAGCTTCCTTTCATGCAAAGAATTTCGATTGTGAAAAAAACCCCTTACATGTAAGTGCAGATTCTTACCTTCTACCATTTATGGATCAAAAACAAGGATTTAAACAATTACAGTAAACATCTACTGCCTCTGCTTGCAAGGCATATTGCAACTGCTAATAATGTTTTTTTTTTAAATGCCCCAGACTTTGAAAACTACATGTTTAGTAACAGAGGAGTGGTCAGATCAACTAAGTAAAAAACAGAAACAGGCAAAGATAATAGGCAGAGTGCACAATCTAGCTTCTATGGACACTGAAAAGAACTAAGATCTCAACATCCAACAAATCAAGGCCAGAATAATGAAGTGACTACACAGGGGCAGTAGGGTCACAATTGTGTCTAAGTGGAAAGTGTGAATACAAAAAACCTACCTAGATTTGTCTGAAACTACTCTGTATTCACAATTCTCAGTGAATCGTGATTTTAACACTATTGCCACTACTTTTCACAAGATCTGCTGCTAATTAATCATCATGGCAATTTCTACTTCTCAGGACAGATGTTTACATCAAACCCTTTCTCTTTCCTACACTGTATAGTCTTCCTCAATCAACAAATAATAATAATATTTATTTATTTATTTATTTACTGTATTTATACACCGCCCTTCTCAACCTGCAGGCAACTCAAGGTGGTTTACAGAGGCAACAATTCAATGCCCAACAACACCATAAAATACATTTAAAACAGTAACCTATAATATAAAACCATAACAAGATCAATAAAAACAAAAATCATTAGCGTCTCCTAGTTAAAATGTTGTCCAGTATTTGCTTTTGTCACTGAACTCCCTCTTTCAAAGGAAGCACGGCATTATTTTCTTAGTCTTTTATTTCTTCATTGATTACAAGCAGCGTGACTAATCCTACCAGTGAGGTTGAAATAATCACAACTCCATCACTATATGGCAAAAATCACTTACCCTATTGTGAAACCTAGTGGTACGATAAGACTTTGGTGACAAATTGAAAACTGTGTAGTGATCAGGATGTCTTGAATCTAAGAACGTCCGTACATCATCAATATGATTCCTAAATCCCAATTCAACTCCTTCACCAGGAAATGACATCACTATCAAGAAAGGCAGGAGGAAGAAAACTTAGATTCTGTACCAGAACAGAGACAAAATTGGAGTTCAAAATTTTAAATTACCTTTTTATCATGTGAAGTAAGTGACAAACTTACCAATAATTCTTGAGGTAATATAAGAAATATCTAGTTCTCCCTTGGTGTAGCTATTGAAAAGAAGGCAAGAGAAGGCAAAATCAACTTTCTCAAAATAAACCATATATCCTGGATGCCAGCTATTTTCCCCTCATATTTGCCTAGCAAATGGATACCACCATAGCATGCCTTTCTGTAGAACAGTGGTTCTCAACCTGTGGGTCCCCAGGTGTTTTGGCCTACAACTCCCACAAATCTCAGCCAGTTTACCTGCTGTTAAGATTTCTGGGAGTTGAGGCCAAAACATCTGGGGACCCACAGGTTGAGAACCACTGCTGTAGAACATCTCTTCATATTTTGCCCGTATGATTCCGCCTTTAATTGCTGGATTCATCATTCTGTGTCAAAACATGAAATTATGACTGTTTTCTGAAATGCAACTATATCAGAAGAGAAAATATTCCTTAACACTGACCTATTTATTTTTTTAATAATAATAATAATAATAATAATAATAATAATCTTTATTTATATCCCACCACGATCTCCCAGAAGGAACTCAGGGTGGCTTACAAAGCACTCCGGGATGCACATATAACATACAACAAATAAAAATGGAACTAAAGTATAAAACAAGTCACATAAAATTGTAACAACAACACCTGTCAACACATGTAGCATAAAATCAAAGTAATACAATTTTAAAAGAACAGTAGATAAAACTAACTGCCATCAGTTCACAAGGTGACAATTTTTGTGTGTGTGTGTGTCAGGAGCGACTTGAGAAACTGCTTCTAGTGTGAGAGAATTGGCCGTCTGAAAGGATGTTGCCCAGGGGATGCCCGGATGTTTTGATGTTTTACCATCCTTGTGGGAGGCTTCTCTCATGTCCCCACATGGGGAGCTGGAGCTGACAGAGGGAGCTCATCCATACTCTCCCCAGATTCGAACTTGTGACTTGTCGGTCTTCAGTCCTGCTGGAACAAGGGTTTAATCCACTGTTTCACCGGGGGCTCCCTAAGGTGGCAAATGTCAGCTTCATATGGGCCCATTCAAGGTCAAAGGCCTGTTTGAACATCCACCAACATGCAAAAAGCCATAACAAATTGCTCATAAACCATACTTCAGTACTGACATTCATGTCCATCCCTCTCAATTATTCCTATATTAAAGATTCAGAACTTGCAGCTAATTTGTAATATAAAGAGTAAGTTGTCAAAGTCTCCAATTCTCATCCTCTGTTCCTGTTGGCAGACAGGAGTGGCAAATGTCTGGTATATGATACTGCTGTGTCTGCACAGCTAAATAGTAAAAGAGTCCCTGCTCTGAAGCACCAGCAACATATAAGACAAATGGACTAGAAATGGCAAAAGCGGGAGGGGGGGCGGGGGTAGTGCTGAAGTGATCTCTTTGAACTTTAGGAAAGAAGCAGAATCCTTAAATTAATTATGGTTGCTTTCACCCATTCGTCTGGATGCTAAAGACTTCATGCATCTGAAGGATCTCTTATTTCTCTCTCAAGTTCTGCACACACTTTCTAGACAGAATAGAAAGACAGAGATTAAAAAATAAGTCCCCACCACCACCACCACCACCACTTCCCTATCTTATTATTCTATAACCAATGGAACTGAGCCGTAGTACACTCAGGAGAATCAAAAGAAAATATTTCTTCACATCCTTCCTGTAGCATTCCAAATGCCTTGAGCTACAACTGCCATCAAGATTTTGGTAGCTGCATTACAACAGAACTGGAAAGCACCTGTTTGGTGGAGCTGATTTGGGAATAACTTAATAAAAGATGAGGCATATTCATGGTGCATTTCTCTATCTGTGACCATTACGCATGATGAGCTAGTAAAAACTTCTATTGGTGATAAAAAGAAGTAGAGAACTATTGTCTCTGTTGCTGGAAGACAGGAATCTTGGATTGACAACTTGTGTGTGGGTTTTGGTGTGTACTGCAGAAATTACCACAAAATATATATGTACCTACTGCAGGAAAAACAAAAGAAAAGTAGATTGGAAAGAGACCTCAAAGGCCAACCAGTCCAACCTCCTGCCATGCAGGAACATGTAATGTGAACAAGAAAGGAGCATTACTCTGTTTTTCAAAGACCCTAACTTAACCAAACTAAAACCAACCTGATAAGATATAATTCAACTTAACAATCTTCCCTTACTACAAGATATATGATTCTCAGTTACTAAATTTAAACCAGGGGTGGAGTACTTCTAACTCACCAGATGTTCTAAGTCTTAGCCACCATAACCATAACAAATTATACTGTTTAGCCGGTATTGCACCACCTGACATCCACGAGGAAGTAGCAACCAATAATGAAAGGAACAAATCATTGACATATCTGGCCCATTCTCTGTTTGGATATCAACCAGCACACCAACATCTTAAATGAAGAAACAGCTTCCCACGATCTACAGAGATACTCGCAGGAACACTTCAGCAAGCGAGAGTCCAAAAGTGGCAGGCTAAAACCTGGAACCTCAATTAGTGGCTGATTCCAGATGAGAGACTCCCTCCTGAGCACCCAGAAGACTGGGAAACTTGGAAGGCATTGCCAATCTTAAGAAATGGGGCTACGAAGTAGAGTCCATGACATGCAAATGTGAAGAAGAGCAAATCACAGACCACTTACTACAATCCAGTCTGAGCACAATGGAGGGCCTTCTTACAGTGACACCAGAGGTACTCCAAGTGGCCAACTTCTGATCAAAGGAAATTTAGTATAATGCCAAGTTTTTAACTTTGTTTGTGTGTTTTTTTAAAAAAAACATAACTGTACCCTCCTTTTGCTTCTGACATGATGAATAAATAAAATCATGTTGCTGCAATGTTGGGCTTTCACATCTTGCTTTATTGCAAAGTCAACAAAATATTCACAGACCACATCCAGCCCCTTAGGGCCATTTTTATGGCTCTGAGGTGCAACAAAAAGAATTTTTACCTCAAAAGGTTGATTTAAATGCTCCCAAGTGCCCTATAATTTATTGCTACAACTTAATAGCCTCCCTGTAGACATCTTAAAATTGCTATTTTGTTGTAAGACAATCCAAGTATGTTTGTTTCACAGTACCTTGCAACAGACTGCATAACTTTAGTAGAGGTGTCTTTTAGTGTGTCCTTCAGGTTATCCTTTAAGTTGCTGAAGAGTCTTCCTGCTCCTCCTTTCATCATGTCCAATAGACCACCCCCATAGCTTGTCTCCATGTCAGGAGATGAGGCACCTTAATGGAAGAAAAGAAAGCATAGGAATATGCATCTTACTTTGCAAGAAGTTTCTGGCTTCAAGCATAAGGTATTAATGCAACAATATTAACACCATTACACTAACCCTGCCCCCCAAAAATGCAGCATTCGGAGCCATTTTACCCATGCTATAAGGCTTGAGGATACCACCTCTTCCTGTCTTTCCATTCAAGGAGGGTTTTCCTCCAGGGGCAAACCAAGAATGGGCAACTTGGAAGTCCCTGAACAGACTCAAAAGTAGAGTGGGCAGATCAAAAGACAACCTGGCAAAATGGCATTACCTAAAAGAATCCCACACCTTGTGTGATTGTGGAGCAGAACAGACAACTCTGCATCTGTACACTTGTCCATTATGCCCTGCCTCATGTACAGAGTAAGAATTGATGGAGGCTACAGACAATGCCATTGCTGTTGCCCGTTTTTGGTCAAAAGATATTTAGCCGCCTGCGCTCCTTCTAATTTTATCAGTTTTATACTAATTTATGCAATGCTTTTGATAGGAAATAAATAAATTCAAGGAGAGGCACCACCTTCTTATCACAACCAATTGTAACATATGTATTCCAAACAGGCCAAGTACCTCCAACATTTCTGGTGAACTACTGCAGTTGTAAAAGCCTGGGATGCCTTATGGTAAAAGTTGTTTGCTAATATGAGATGTTTGGCCACATAAATCGTTCACTAATTCAGATGTTGTCTTCCTCTCTGCATGAAATTTTCAAAAAGGAAAATAAATAAACATGGTAGCTTCTGATAATATTCCTTATGCTTCTGATTGCATATTCTTATGCTTTCGGGTTGCTTTAATGTTTTATTCCCCTTGTTTTGACACACAAGGTGTATGTTTAATTGTCTCTTTCACCTGATTCTCTTGCCATTCCTACAACTTGGCCAGCATGGAGAAGAATATTTCCTTATTCACATTTTAAACCTATTGCCCAGAAGAAGACGTCTATGAAATACATGCTTTAAATTAAACAACGATGAAACAAAACACAGCCAAAGGCAACATAAGGCAACTGAAACAAAAGATGCTTGGATGATCTGGTCATGCTATTCAGTTCCAAGAAACAAAGACTATAATGAAATGAACCCTTCTCTTTAAAAAGTTTAAAAAAAGAGAAAGACAAACCAGACATTGTTTAAGAGACTGCCTTGTTTTGTTTTCATGAGATATGGAGATATCTCATGGCTTCTTCAGAAATAGAAAAATTTAAATGCAAGAAACCATAACTTTAAGAAGTGCAATTTTTGTGAAAAAATATTGAATGCGTTTAATAATAATATTGACTATTATTATTACTATTTCATTGACTGCTGCTAGCAAATAATTTACCCGTATATATTCGAGTATAAGCTGATCCAAATATAAGCCAAGGAACCTAATTTTACAACAAAAGAACTGGGAAATGTATTGACTCGAGTATAAGCCAAGGGTGGGAAATGGAGCAGCTACTGGTAAATTTCAAAATAAAAATTGATACCAAAAAATTACATTAATTGAGGCATCAGTAGGTTAAATGTTTTTGAATATTTACATAAAACTGTAATTTAAGCTAAGACTGTCCAACTCTGAATAAACCATTATTCTACCCTTCTTCAATGTAAATGTGCTTACATATCCTTCCAATAATAATAGTGTAAAATAATAAATGTAATAAAAAATAATAGAGTACAATAATGAAAATGTTATAATAGAGTAAAATAATAAATGTAATAATGAAATTAGAAACAGACATTTCTACTGGAACAGCCCAAAACTTTTTTAAAGGATTTTAGTAAATATACTTAGTATACTTAATGGCGATAATTGTTTCATGAAGAAGACTCATGAGTCTTCTTTAATAAGTTAAATTAGCTAAATTAGAAAAATAATTAATTTAATGTTAGTTAAATAATTTTAAATACCCCACTCATGATTAAGATACAAGTTTCTACTCACTTAATTATCGAATTTCTACATAAATGTTAATTAATTAATTAATTGCATATTATTAAAATAATCCCCACTCATAGTTATGATATAGGTCGGTCTCTCTCTCTCTCTCTCTCTCTCTCTCTCTCTCTCTCTGTGTGTGTGTGTGTGAATAAATATTATTTAAACTGACTTTATGATACTGAGTTTCATATTGAATTAAAAATAACTAAATCTGTTGTGATATTGATATCTCACTGGCTACTATTATTTAGTTCATATTCCCTTGGAATGTAATCTGTTCAGCAGCTTGCAACAAAACTTAGTAGAAACAATGATGTATTTTTAGTAATTAAAATCTTAACATGGAGATGCACAGTAAAAACAGTTTGCAGACACATGCAATGAGTGGGACACACTTTGCCCATCCCCAATTAATGTACCTGGGCCTTATCTAACAATTCTAATCCACTGACATATATTCTCCCACATACCCAGTGGGAAAGAGAAATATTTGTTCAAATGTATTCATACTACTTTAATGGAAACAATGGAAATAATGAGAATGACAGAAATACTGATGGAGAAAATCACTATGCAGCTTTAGACCTATACATATTTACTCAATTATTACAGCTGAATTATACTTTATTGCTTCTCACAGTAAAGTCTGCAGAAAATCTATTACTAGCAGTAATAAACCAATTTCTGGAAATGTATGCCTTTAACCAAAAAAAAAAGAGGAAGGAATAATTGAACTTATATTAAATATCAGAGCAAGCATACTATTTTATAATTTTATAATGTAGTTCACAATACACAGTTATAATGTGGCAATATCTAAATGAAAATAATAAAAAGAAACATGTTCTCATAAGATTTCTCTAAGTTAACAAGAATTAGGGATGTTTGAGCAGTGGGTTTTACTATTGACTCCAACAGCAATTTCCCTTTTCATCACATACCTTAGCTTCATTATTATGGAAGAAAATCCCTAACCAAATATTACACATAATGCCAGTCACCCTTTTTTAATGGAAACCTTTGTTGAGTTGATGTGAGAATGTGCATCTATACTGTATACCTTCCACCTGGAAACCTATGTCCCCATTGTGACAGACCATGTAGATCCAGAATAGGTCTCTAATGTTACATATGGACCCACCTCCAAATCATAATTAGCCATGAGTGATCACCTATAGTAGTATATTGTACACTGTATAATTGATACAGTTTGACACCATTTTAACTGCCATGGCTGAATCCTATAGAATCCTGGGAGCTATAGTTTACAAGGTGCCAAGAATTGGACACAGTATTCCAGGTCAGACCACACCTGGAATACTATGTCCAATTCTGGGCACCACAATTTAAGAGAGATGTTAACAAGCTGGAATGTGTCCAGAGAAGAGCAACTAAAATGATCGAAGGTCTGGAGAACAAGCCCCATGAAGAGCAGTTTAAAGTGCTGGGCATGTTTAGTCTGAAGAAGAGAAGGCTGAGAGGAGACATGATAGCAATGTATAAATATGTGAGGGGAAGTCATAGAGAGGAAGGAGAAAGCTTGTTTTCTGCTGCCCTGGAGACTAGGATGCGGAACAATGGCTTCAAACTACATGAAAGGAGATTCCACCTGAACATTAGGAAAAACTTCCTGGCTGTGAGAGCTATTCATCAGTGGAACTCTCTGCCCCAGAGTGTGGTGGAGGTTCCTTCTTTGGAGGCCTTTAATCAGAAGCTGGATGGTCATCTATCGGGGTGCTTTGAATGTGATTTTCCTGCTTCTTGGCAGCAGGTTGGACTGGATGGCCCACGAGGTCTCTTTCAACTCTATGGTTCTATGATTCTACATGGTTGGGGTTGGGATTCTAGACACTAAGATTTGAGTGCTGTATTTCTAATTACAACTCAAATCATGTGTAATGTATGTATACCTGAAATTCTGAATAAAATTTCATAAAGATTTATACATGGCTATCATGTCTCCTCTCAGCCTTCTCTTCTGAAGGCTAAGCATGCCCATCTCTTTAATCCGTTTCTCATAGGGCTTGTTCTCCAGACCCTTGATCATTTTGGTTACCCTCTTCTGGACACATACCAGCTTGTCAACATCTCCCTTCAATTGGACACAGTATTCCAGATGTGGTCCAACAAAGGCAGAATAGAGGGATAGCATGACTTCCCTTGACCTAGACACTAGACTCCTATTATGCAGGCCAAAATCCCATTGGCTTTTTTTGCGGCCACACAACATTGTTGGCTCATGTTTAACTTGTTGTCCACAAGGACTCCAAGGTCTTTTTCACACATACTGCTGTCGAGCCAGGCATTTCATTTTTTCTGCCAAAGTGGAGTATCTTGCATTTGTCACTGTTGAACTTCATATTGTTAGCTTTGGCCCATCTCTCCAATCTGTCAAGATCGTTTTGAATTCTGCTCTTGTCTTCTGGGGTATTGGCTGTCCCTCCCAATTTGGTGTTGTCTGCAAATTTGATGATCATGCCTTCTAACCCTTCATCTAAGTCATTAATAAAGATGTTGAACAGGACTGGGCCCAGGACAGAACCCTGCGGCACTCCACTCGTCACTTCTTTCCTCTTCTTCCTGGAAAGAAGTGACGAGCGGAGTGCCACAGGGTTCCGTCCTGGGCCCGGTCCTTTTCAACATCTTTATTAATTACTTAGATGAAGGGTTAGAAGGCATGATCATCAAGTTTGCAGATGACATCTAAACATATAAGATTTATGAACCTGGAATTATGAAAGAACACTCCAACCTTTGGATGAAGGGAGGACATAATGCATAATACATAAATAATAATAATAATAATAATAATAATAATAATAATAATACTTTATTTATACCCTGCCACCATCTCCCCAATGGGGACTCGGGGTGGTATATAATTACTACATATCAAAATAAAGTGCATACAGCAAATAATAACATCAAATGAAATGTAAACAAAACAAATTAATACAAAATCAAATACAGAAAATGAAATAAGAAAACAAAGATAAGCACAGCGGGCTGGGCCAAGTTACAAGAGGTAGAATAAGATAT